TGCTGGCCATCCCGCTGGCGAGGAAGGATGGGAGAGGGTGTGAGGAAGGTGTGGAGGGATCTGGTGTGAGGAGGGGGAGAGGCAGAGGTCCTGGTTGTTTCTGAGTGCCTCGGGGATATGGTGCCCAAAGGGAAAGGTTTGGTGAGCAGGGAGGTGAAATTGTTATTAGACCCGCTGCATTCTAGGTCGGTGGTCATTAGGGGATGGAGGATTCAGGTAGGCAGCTGGTTTGGGGTTTGGGTCTGGGTCCGGAGAGGATTGGGCTGAGTCCAGAGACCGTGAGAGTCTCATTTTAGTGGGAGAGATGGCCACCGATGCTCAGAGAGGACATCGCTACCCAGGCCCCAGAGCACCTCACCACCACGTTCCTGCTCATGTTGCTTCCTGTGAGTGATTCATCGCGGGAAACCATACGGCACGCGCTCTGGCTTTTTGCTCACCATATTGGTTGCCTTTTTCCACATTAATACACAGGCTTCATAACGTCCACCCAAAAGGCTTCGTAATGCTCCTTCCACTGGGTGGGCACGGTTTAACCAGCCCTGGTGCTGGTTATTGTTGTTGTTTTCTGTGGTTTGCTGGTAAGAGGAATACAATGCTGGGTATGAGGTTTTCCACGTGTGGGGTTGTCTTCTCAGGGGAGTTTCCCAAAAGTCAGATTCCAGCCGAAGCCGGTTTGGCTCAGTGGATAGAGTGTCGGTCTGCGGACTGAAAGGTCCCAGGTTCGATTCTGGTCAAGGGCATGTACATTGGTTGCAGGTACATCCTCAGTGGGGGATGTGCAAGAGGCAGCTGGTCGATGTTTCTCTCTCATCAATGTTTCTGACTCTCTATCTCTCTCCCTTCCTCTCTGTAAAAAATCAATAAAATATATTTTTTTTTAAAAAAAGTCAGACCCAGGGTCCTTGCTGCATAAGGGCACCAAGGAGTTTAATCAGATCAGACACAGGGTAACCGCAAGTAGTGGTTGTTGCTTGGGTTTGGTTTCTTGGGTTGGGTTCGGTTTCCACTGGAGATGACCCCATGTGGACGTGGTTGGGAAGGGAATTCCAGATCAGAGGAACAAGCCCAGCCCCACCTGTGTCCACCCAGAGCTGGGGGTGGTGGGGAGAAGGTTCTGAGGGTGCAGCTGGGCCTGGCTCGCCCCCACCACGCCGGTTCAGCCAGTCCTGCCTTCTCAGAGGTCTACACATCCTACCCCGACTCTGATGTGGGTGGGCACGCGGGAAGTTGAGTTGAAAGGAGAACTGACTTAGAGATTTCTAAGGGGGAAAATCTAGAAAGACCTGGGGACTCCAGAGGTTCATTCACTCGGCACCATTTATTAAGTACCGGTTAGGCACCACACATGGTTCATCAAGAGAGACATGATCCCAACCACCTCTAAGGAGAGCCCACCGGAGTCTATAGATATATATATATATTATATATTTAAAAAAAAAAAAAAAAAGGTGAAGTTATAGTGACTGGGAATACCCAGCAGGAGGGACTGAGAGGACAGTAGCAGGGCTCTTTGGCCTGGTCAGGGAGGTTGAGAAGACGTTGAGGGAGCCAGTGGGCCAGGAGTCTAGAGCTCGGAGTTGGAGACATGGCGTACGGGGAGGGGTTGGGTGATCTAGGCTACAGGGCAGAGCAGGCCACTGCTGAGCCTTCAGGCCTCTGGTGAGAATTTTGGCCCCTTTGCCTAAGGGACAGGGGAAGCTATTCGAGGATCCTGACCTGGGGAGGGGTGACAAGAATACATTTGCCTTTCAGATGTTGGTTTGGGTTGCCCAGGGGAGACTGGCCTGTAGGGGAGTTAGACGGGAATGAGCAGCCCATCCACAGGTGTCCTGAGAGCGGCTGTGGCTCGGCTGTGAGCCACGGCACTCAGAAGGCAGAGGGAGGCTGGGCCCTGGGACCACCCATGCTCTCTGTCCAGAGAGGGGCCCATGCGTGGGGCACCATGGCCAGGACCCAAGGCCACTCAGCTGGCAGCATCCTCACCTTGCTCCAGCAGAGCCACGAGCAGGAAGACAAGAATGGCCTCCAGAAAGCCCAATTGCTGGCTTAGCTTTGACCTTGCTCAGCTGGAGCCTCAGCACTTCACCATGTAGCTCGTACTTTGCACACGGTTTCTAACTCGGCCTGCTAGTGGGTCGAAACAGCAGACTAGAAAGGGCTGGGGCTGCGGCGGGGGAAAAGAGGATAACAGTGTGGTGTGACTGACTGCACACCGCAAGGGAAAAGGCCATGAAATAAACATCAGAACACAAAAGGCATGTTCAGGCCAGAGCTCGGCTCCGGGAGGGTGGGAGTGTGGAGAATGGCATGTGCAGAATGCGGGGAGGAGCCAGCTGGGTGAGAAGGCAGGACCTGGCCCTGGACTAGGGTAAGGTCAACGCAAAGAGCGGGGCTCAAGTATAAAGACAGATCCCAGGTCCGGGCAGTCTCGAGAGACCAAACTCATGACACAGAGCCACCAAGGTCAATATGGATGAGACCTCGGGGAATGTCTCTTGCTGTGTGGCTGAGCGAAGGGACACCGCTGAGTCTCCAGGCATAGAGGCCAGGGATGGAGACCTGCAGGGGGCGTGTGGTTCAGCTTGAGGCCGGCTCCTGGGGCTCAGGGCTCAGGTTTCCATGGGGATGGTGGATAGTGGGATGCAAAGGAAACCTCCCTCCTTCTTCCCTTCCTCTGCTCGCTCCTCCCCTCCATTTTTTCTTTCCCCCTTCCTGCCCACAGTGGCCTTCCTTGAGCCTGGAGGAGCTTTCCCTCCACAAAGGGCTTCCTGAAAGACGCGGGGCCTGGGAGAGCAGGAGAAAAGGCTAGGGCCAGGGTGGGTGAGGGTGGGGGTGGAGATGGATGGCTTGCAAAGGGGGCTCCTAGACCAGTCCATCCTTGATCTTTGGTCCTAGCACTGCAATTCACAAACACTCTGCTCTGTGAATCCTCGCCAGCACCCTGGAGGTGGGTGGGCAGGTGTGGGCGGCCCCATTGACCTACAACGCCTTATGTCTGAGCCTAGAGTCCCCATCTGGAAAAATGGGCAAAATAAACCCTCTCCCAAGGTTGTAGTGAGGACTGAGGGAGAGGCAGGGCACAGTTGGCTTCTGCTCGGGAGATGGAGCCGCTGCTCCTCAGCAGTGGAGTCGGGATTTGATCTCAGGCGTCCGGCCTCCAAGCCTGATAAGGGTGACCGTTCTACCATCCCGCCTGACTTAGGAGAGAAAAGAAAGATAGGGAGCTCCTTTAACCCTCCTGATGGAGCTGGGGATCAAGCGCAGGTGCTCTTGATCCCCAGGTCACCTCTGTTTTCTCCTCTGTAAAGGAGGAAACAGCCGAAACCGGTTTGGCTCAGTTGTAGAGCGTAGGTCTGCGGACTGAAAGGTCCCAGGTTCAATTCTGATCAAGGGCATGTACATTGGTTGCGGGCACATCCCCAGTAGGGGGTGTGCAAGAGGCAGCTGGTCGATGTTTCTCTCTCATCTCTCTCATCGGCGTTTCTAGCTCTCTCTCTCCCTTCCTCTCTGTAAGGGGGGGGAAAAAATATATATATATATATATATATATATATATATATATATATATATATATATATATATATATAAAGATTTTTCTAAAAAAAAAAAAAAAAAAAAAAAAAGGAGGAAACAGCTGTCCCTGCCCGGTCAGGAAGTGGGAATATCAGCGGCCTGAGGGTGCGGAGATGAGCTGGGGAGCAAGCTAAGGAAGTCATTGACAAGCATCTAGCAGGCTTGTGCCTAGTGTATGCAGGAGGACCTCAGGGGCATGTAGTCATCACCTGCTGGGACTGAGGGGGGATGTGAGCTCCACCCACCTCTGAGGGCAGACACTCCACCCCACTGTCTTGAGCCCACACACCTACCACAGGCAAGAGGATGAGACCAGTGAGTGTGGCCTGGAGGGCTGTAAGGCACTAGCAGGGCAGGGGGGAAGCAGGGGCTTTCTGAGGAGCGGCTTACTGAGTCTTCTCCCAGCAAGCGCAGGTGAGAGCCTGCCATGTGCTCCATACAAGCTCTACCTTAGACCTGGGGAGGCAGCCGCAGGGGGCACAGAGGAGCTGGAGACCTAGATGCCAGGCCACGGAATCTGCTGCCAGCAGGGCCCCTGGATGGAGGGCAGAGGGTGGTGTTTCAGGCAGCTTGGCCAGACAGTGGTAGGTGTGGTGGAGTGGTGCAGGCTTGGGGAGACTGACTGATGCGGGCAGGCCCGTGGGGGGTCTGCAGAGGCAGGAGCTGGGCCAGGGCTGGGCAGTGAGGGAGAGGAGTAGATGAATGCAGAGGTCACCAGCAGAGCGGGAAGAATCTGAGGGCATCTCAGGGTTTCCTGATGACTGGCCGAGTCCCAGGGGCGCCTTCTCGCCCGGGGATTGTATATTAATTGTTTATTTAGTGCCAGCCACCCGGGTTTCAGGACCAGCGTCACCACCCTGTGCTAGCCAGCCTGGCTGGACAGAGCTGCTCTGGCTTGTAGGCTGCACAGTTCTCCCCAGCCTACTGCCACTCCCACACCTTCCCTACCCTCGGGCCTCAGATTAGAGAAGCCCCCCCCCCCCCCCCCCCCCCCGGTCCCAATTCCTCTCCCCTTCCCTCCAGGGGCCTTCCAGCTTCTGCTTATGTCACTCTGCTCATTACCTCCCAGGCCACCCTCCCACACAGGGTCTGCCCTCTCCCTGGCTGTGGAGCCTTCGTGCCCATAGGCACTCCCTGGGTGCTGCAAGGACAGAGCCTTAGTCAGGGGCAGGGTTCTCTGCACTCAGTAGGAGACAGAGCTGCCCGGTCAGCCCTGTCTGTGTACCGCCTGGGCCTACAGAAACCTCTCTGTTGTGGTGTGGGGCTGAGCATGTAGCTATGGGGCATCCATTCACGGAGCATTTCAGAGGACCCCACCCCCACCCCCATCTGGTCATCAGGCGCCCTGAGTGTGGCGCTGGCCCTTTAAAGCAGATCAGGGGCTGGCGTGTGGGGGTAAACCGCCCAGATTTCTGTGATCTGCTTACAAGCCTGGGCCAGGGAGGGGGGCCGCTCCAGCCCCCCTGGCAGGGGCATTGGAAGGGCAGGTGGAGCGGGTAGCATTGATTGCAGTAACCTGATCCCTCGGGGAGGCGGCAGCGACAGCGGCATTGGGCATCGGCATCGCAGGGGAGGAAGCTGCCTGCAGCTGAGGGCTGGGCCTGGAAGAGCTGGGCTGGGGCCTGGGTCTGCGGGCCGCTGTCTCGTCTCCCGGCCCATGTATTTTTAATGAGCTCTCCAGGCTTCTGCAGCGGGCAGCATGCGGAAAGGCAGGCCCAGGCCTGTGGCCCCAGCCCTGCCCTCAGCCCTGGCCCCCCAACCCTTCTGGGCATGAGAGGGCGGTCCTGGGGCCCCGAAGCCCCCTGGCCGGGCAGGGCTCTCCATGCAGCTCTTCCTGAAGATGGATTCAAGCCCAGACAATGACAGCTGGTTGGAGGATCAGTGGGAGCACTGGTAGGGGAGTGGGGGCTCGGGGGAGGGGGAGGTTTGGGGGTGGGGGGCAGCTCCGTGGAGCTCTGAGTCTCTGCTTGGGGCTGACTGAGGTGAGAGGCAGAGGGCTTGGGCCTCCGAGGCTCCCCTGGGGGCTGGGCCACCACCTCTCCCGGGTGACCTTGGACTGTGGGTCTCTCTCTCTCTCTATGTCTCAGTCTCTTGGTCTTATTTGGGAAAAGGCTCAGAATTGTTCCCAACTTTCCCCACAGAATTCTCCAAAACGTCCCACTCACACCAAAAACCTGGTGGAGCCTAGAGCTGGGGCAGGTGGGTAAGCAGAGAGAGGGGGCACGGGGCTGGCCTGGGGCAGAGGGTTCTAGCCCAGCCAGCTAATGTCCTGGTGCTGGGGTGCACTGCCTCCTGAGCTCAGCACCCCTCCAGCCCCAGTTCTTTGACCCCATCTGGGTAGCCCGTTCAGGGTCCATATCTGGGCAAAGTGATTTTGTGGTTGAAGAGAGGAGACTAGGAACATAGACTGGCGACCTCGTCTGTCCTGGAATGGGTGGGAGCGACCCACAGGGACTCCAGGTCGCCCTTCCTCGCTCTGTGACTCAAGCGGCATGCGGCTTCCCAGCTGGGGGAATGGCGCATCCGCTGGGGCTGGGGAGTGGCCTCTGCCGGCGCTGGGGGTTCTGTTGCTGCAGGGATTGGGCAGGGAGCCCCTGACTCCAGGCAAGCATCCCTCGGAGTCTCTTCTCAGCTCTTCACATTCTCCGTGGGTGAACTTGGCCTTGGCACCTGCCTTGACCCTGGGAGGCATTTCTCTGGCAGAGCTGAGACTGAGCAGCTGGGCCTTCCAGGCACCGCTTCTGGTTTGGCAGCAGGGTGGACAGCACCCAGCCGGGAGGAGCAGGGGTAACCCGGAGTCTCCCCTTCCACTGCCACCCCAGGAAGACTGCCTTTTGGCATGAGCCCCAAACCCTTTCCCTGCCTGGTGGTTACCCCTTGCATTGGCACCGGAGGACTCCAAGTCCCGTCCTCCGGGGACTGTGATCTGCCTCCGAGGGGCTGCCGCCTGGAGGATGTACCGGGGAGACATCAGAGGGCTGAGCGGTCCCCCTGGGTTGTAACTCCGGCTTCCTGTCCCCCCACCAGGCTCACCCATGATATCAGCCTGGAGGAGTTTGAGGATGAAGACCTCTCCGAGATCACCGATGAGTGCGGCATCAGTCTGCAGTGCAAAGACGCCCTGTCCTTACGGGTAAGGGTGGGCTCCCAGGAGCCCAAGTGGGGTGGCAGGATGGGTAGGGACAGGGTGGAGGGCACCCCTACATCTACTAAGGGGCTTTCAGGGTCTCCATGGCACCCTCATTCATGAAACAGCATACAGGAAGCATCCAGTACAACGCTTGGCACATCTTGGGCCTCCATCCGAATTTTTGTTCTCTTTTTGGCCTGGAGTTAAGGCAGGAGGTAGCTCTTTCACGTGCCCACATGAAGGGGGAGGGCAGCAGGTCTTGCGGTCTAGGACAGTAACAGTTAGGGCCTTAGTTAGGGGAACGCTCAGAAAGACCCTAAACCCTGTGGGGAGTGGCCTTGGCAGAGGGCCTGAGGCAGAGCAGGGTGGAGTCAGGGCTCCGCAGTGCTGGGGCAGGAGGAGGGAGCCACGCGCTCCCTCTGCTGCCCTTGCACCAAACCACACCCCATGGCCTCACAGTCCCAAAGGCCCGTTTGGAGGGTTAACCCAGCATTGCTGCTGTGTTTGTCATAGGATAGATGGCTCACTCTGTCCCTAAAGTTCTGAATCCCGCCAGGAGGTCCTCAGTGTCTGGGGCACCTGGATCAGATGGAGATCTCCTGTATCTTTTCAGAATCGAGAGAAGGAACCACTAGTCAGGAAATGGAAGGCAAAGCATGGGGCAGAGTCCAGAGCTTCTCTCCGCCCCCAGGAGGGTGGCTGGCCAAGTAGACATGGTGCTAGGAGAGTGGTCAGCAAAGGAGAGTTGGGATGGGGTTCCTATCTCTGGGTTGACCTCCTATTTTCCCAAGAGATTCTGTAAGCCTGCCAGGAAAGAAGAAACCAAGTGAGTGGGGAAGGATAACCTTCAAGTACCTGTACCCCAACCCTCCACCCTCTGGCCACGCTAGGAAGGGCTGGAGGCAGAGGTCACTTATTCTGGCAGGGCTTGGGGAATGGTCCTAAGGCCCTGACATAGTTTCTCTAAGGTCATACACCTATTCTCTTCCCGAAATGCCTACTCTGCCAATGTGCACAGGCAGAGCCTTGCAGAGGGTGGTCCTGCAAACAGCGAGGGCCCTAAGTTATACCCCGAGGAGCCTGAGAAAGCTCCAAAGGGCTTTCACACCTCTCTGGGAATCTGGGAGGCAGTTTAACTGGTGAGGGAACTGGAGGGTCAGGAAACCTGTCCAGGGTGCCAGGGAGTTAGTGGAAGAGCTGGAACTAGAATAGGACTCGGAACTCTCAAGGTTAGACTGGCCTGAGGGAGAATCTCAGGTTGGAGGGGCCAAGGCCTGTGGACAGGAGGGTGGGGTGTGCCAGTGCCTGGGCAGGTGCCCGCAGGCGCCCCTCCCTTTCAGCATCCCTCTTCCAGCCGCACTCAGATCCTCGGGTCTGCACTGCGGCCCTTCCGTAAAATCCCTTGCCTGAGACTCTTTTCCCAATTTCCCTCACTGCCCGCTCCAAATACTAACCCCTTCCCCATCCCTTATGCGGCACCAACTCCTAGGCGACCCTTCCTCCCCATGGCAACAGCGGTGACCTCACTCTGGGCTCCGCTTACTAGCCGGGTGAGGTCACGGGGCTGTTGCCAAGGGAACGGGAGGGTGCGAAGAGTCCGGAAGCGGGGGACCGCGGGGAAGGGAGAGGTGTGGGCTGTCAAAGGCTGCGGCTGGAGTAGGGGGGTGTGTGAGGGGGGGAAGCGGCCTCCAGCATCCTGGCGGGTGGCGGGAGGGCGCGGCCCCCTCCCCCTGAGCTCCGGCCCCTCTCCCTCTCCCCCCTCTTCGCGGCCGCGGAATGGACTCGCCCGGGAGGGGGCGGGGCACGGCGGCCTCGGCCACGCCCCCGCCCCGGCCTGGCCCCGCCCCCTGACACCCCTCCGTCTGCGCCGGGAAGCCCCCGCGTGCCGGGCTGCTGTCGGGGGGCGGCGGCTGCGCGGGGAGCCGGCTGCAGGCCGAGATGCTGCAGATGGACCTGATCGACGCGGCGGGGGACACTCCCGGCGCCGAGGACGACGAGGAGGAGGACGAGGAGGAGCGCGCGGCGCGGCGTCCGGGAGCGGGGCCGCCCGAAGCCGAGCCTCGCCAGGAGCCGGCGCCCCGCGGCCAGGGCCAGGGCCAGGGCCAGGGCCAGGGCGGCGGGGACACGTACCGACCCAAGCGGCCCACCACGCTCAACCTCTTCCCGCAGGTGCCGCGGTCTCAGGTGAGGCGCGGGCGGCACGGGGCGGGGCTGAAGGGGCGGCTCCCGGGGTCGGCCCCGGGAGGTGGGCGCGCGGGGAGGCGCTGAGCAGGAGCTTGCGGGTCTGGTGTGAGACTTTCCAAGGCTTTGGGGGGCGGGGGGGAGGCCAGGTCCCTGGGGAAGTGGTCTTGGGGGCAGGTAAGATCATTCGAGGGGGAGGAGGCGTGAAGGCCTCGAGCAGCGCTCGGATCTGAGCAAGGAGAGGAGAGGAGCGGGGCATTAAGAGAAGTGGGCTTGAGGGTTGCCGGGGTTTGGGGCTTGGGGCCTCAGGCAGTGGCAGGGTTTCCTGCTTAGGGTATGGGGTTCCTGGTAAGGTGGACAGGAAGCAGGGCCTGGAGAAAGGGGCATAGGAAGTGGCCGGTGTGGTGAGAGGCCATGAGAAACTGTAAGAGTTGGGGACGGGGAGCTCAGAGGCAGCTGGGAATTCCCAGAAGGCAGGAGGAGAAATGGGAGGTGGAGCAGCTCGGCTGAGTGGGGGGCCTCGGGCCCCTGGGCTGGGTGGCTGGATGCCAAGGAGGGTTGAATAGGGTGGGGGAGAGTGGCTGTGGCCCTTTGTCTCCCAGGCCCAGTGAGGAGGGGTACGGAGGAGCTGGGGGGGGGGGGGGCCGTTGGTGGAGAGTGCAGGGGCTGCTGGGAGAGGATCGGTTCCTTTCCCAGAATCCTCAGGGGTGGATTTGGCAGCCAAATTCATGAATGTGAGGGCCTGTGAGGATGTTCCCAGGGAAGGGGGCCTGAGGTGTGTGGAGGGAGCCGTGCATGCAGGCCTTGTGAGGGGGCTCCTGGGGCAGAGACTGTGGCACGGGCAGCTCAGCAGATCCAGCAGGAAGGGCCCCTGACAGCCACATCTGTCATCCCTCAGTCATGTGCTCCTGGGGGGCTGATGGAACCGTGTTGTGGATTCATCATTTGGATGATTCATCCCCAGTCCGCAGGCCAGCTGCTGGGAGACCCTTCCTTGTGCTCTTTTCAGGCTCTGCAGCCGCCTCTGCCCCTTCCCTAGGCCAAAGCGTCCTGAGCTTCAGGGCACTTGGGTTGGACGTGAAAGTCTTCATGTTACCTAATCCCCAGTGTCTGGAACTGGGGGTCTGACTCTGTGCCCAGATGGCTCCTGCTTCTCCCCCTCTTCCTCCCCCATTCACCAGCACACATGTCGGCCTTCACCTCTTTTGTGGAGGCTGATAACAGCATCTCCCTAAGGCTTGGCCAGCTTCCTGAGCCAGGAGGAAGGGCTGGCTAGAGCCAGGAGGCCTGGCTGGGCGGACTGGGACTCGCCGCCCGTCCTGCCTACTCCAGAGAGGGTTTGGGGTGAGGCCCTGGACAAGTAGTGGGGGTAGGGTGCAGCAAATGGCCTAGGGATGGCCTGATGGGGGGCAGGGCCAGGGCCTTCTGTGCCGGGCACTGCTGACTGCTTCTGTCACAAGGGCCTTTTGTTTCCTGCACAGGACACGCTGAATAATAATTCTCTGGGCAAGAAGCACAGTTGGCAGGATCGGGTGTCTCGATCATCCTCACCCCTGAAGACAGGTAAGTCAGTACCCTTCCCCTTACCTGGATCCCTACCTGCCCTCACCCAGTCCCCATGCAGAGGGCAAACCCAATAGTCTCCAGCTTATGAGTAGGGGTAAACTGCCTATGCCACAGCTGTGAGTGGGCCCATCTGAGGTCAATTGTGGCCCGAGTGAGAGGGCTGGCTCCTGCATAACATGCTGAGTAGAAGTGCTGAGTGTGGGGAGCAGGTAGCCCGGGAACCAAGGGTGAGGGCACCTGCCTTCAGCTCCAACCTGCCTGCTCTGCAGGGGAGCAGACGCCTACACACGAACACATCTGCCTGAGCGATGAGCTGCCACCCCAGAGCAGCCCCGCCCCCACCACAGACCGAGGCACCTCCACCGACAGCCCCTGCCGCCGCAGTGCTGCCACCCAGATGGCGCCTCCCAGTGTCCCTCAGGCTGCCCCACCCGGTGGCCGGGGCCACTCGCATCGAGACCGCATCCACTACCAGGCAGACGTGAGGCTGGAGGCCACTGAGGAGATCTACCTGACACCGGTGCAGAGGCCCCCCGACCCTGCAGAGCCCACCTCTGCCTTCTTGCCGCCGGCTGAGAGCCGGATGTCGGTCAGCTCCGATCCAGACCCCGCTGCCTACCCCTCAACAGCGGGGCGGCCGCACCCCTCCATCAGCGAGGAGGACGAGGGCTTCGACTGCTTGTCCTCCCCGGAGCGGGCTGAGCCACTGGGCGGAGGGTGGCGGGGGAGCCTGGGGGAGCCGCCGCCGCCCCCACGGGCCTCCCTGAGCTCGGACACCAGCGCGCTGTCCTACGACTCGGTCAAGTACACGCTGGTGGTGGACGAGCACGCACAGCTGGAGCTGGTGAGCCTGCGGCCGTGCTTCGGAGACTACAGCGACGAGAGCGACTCGGCCACTGTCTACGACAACTGCGCCTCTGCCTCCTCGCCCTACGAGTCGGCCATCGGGGAGGAGTATGAGGAGGCGCCGCGGCCGAGGCCCTCTGCCTGCCTCTCGGAGGACTCCACACCCGACGAGCCCGACGTCCACTTCTCCAAGAAGTTCCTCAACGTCTTCATGAGCGGCCGCTCTCGCTCCTCCAGTGAGTCTGCAGCGGGGGCCGCGGGGGGGCCTGGGTGGGAAGACCTGAGACAGGGGTGCTCCTGGGAGGAGGCCTCAGGCCCATCCAGTTCAAGGCATAAGCACTGGGAGCTCTCTACCTGCCCCTCAAAACTGGACCAGAGCTGGGACCTTCCCCCTCCAGCCAGTGCCCTTCACCCACAGGTGCGGAGTCCTTTGGGCTCTTCTCTTGTGTCATCAACGGGGAGGAGCAGGAGCAGACCCATCGGGCCATCTTCAGGTAAGAGCACAGAGCTGGGCTGGCCCAGCAGCCCCAGGCCACCCCTCCCTGCCTCTGCCACCATCTCATGGCCTAAACCCAACCCGCCACCGGCATTCATCCGCCCTCCCAGCCCCTGGGGACAGTGTCTGTCCTCTCGGAAGTATGAGCAGGGTGCTGGAGCCCATGTTCTCGGTGCCCTGTGGCCTTTGCTGCCAGAACGCAGGCGCAAGCACCCGATCTGCACGGGACCAGAGCCCAGGAGGGCGCCCCGCACCTGATACCTGACCCCACAGCAAACCCACAGCCTCCCTCCACTCCATATGCAAGTGCTTGCTTCCCGTCGCCTCGCACATGTTATCAGTGGGCTCCGGTCACTTCCTCCCATGGCCGACGCATATCTGATTGCCTTTGGTCTCCCCTAGGAGCTAGCACTGACAGGCTCTCAGACGCTTTTGCATACTTTGTTTATTGAACTAATGATGCCAGTGCAGCTCCCAGACCCGGAGCAGGGTGGGGCGAGATGGAAGGCCTGGCTGCAGAGGCCGGTGGTGGAGTCCTCACATGCCTTCTTTGGGAACAGGTTTGTGCCTCGCCATGAAGATGAACTTGAGCTGGAAGTGGACGACCCCCTGCTGGTGGAGCTCCAGGCCGAGGACTACTGGTATGAGGCCTACAACATGCGCACAGGGGCCCGGGGCATCTTTCCCGCCTACTACGCCATCGAGGTCACCAAGGAGCCTGAACAGATGGCAGGTAGTGTTCCTCTCCCCCTGCCTGGTGCCACGGGCCACACATCCCGCCTGCCCTGACTTGCTGTGGGGGAACCTGTGCTCCAGCTCTCAGCACTGGAGGGGGGGGAAGGGGGGGGCCAAGCAGAGGGGACCTTGGGGGTCAGTTTCACAACTGATTGACGTGAGCCCAGCCAGCGTGGGGCATATGTGGATTGTGGCACCCTCTGCTGGCTCTGCCATGCCTCACTTTCATGCTTGCTTTCCAGCCCTGACCAAAAACAGCGACTGGGTGGACCAGTTTCGGGTGAAGTTCCTGGGCTCCGTCCAGGTTCCCTACCACAAGGGCAATGACGTCCTCTGTGCCGCTATGCAAAAGGTAGCTGCTTCCTGCCCCCCCCCACCCCCAAGCAGGCGTCCACCCCCAGCCCAGTCCCCGTCCTCTCCTGGGAGAGGGACCCCCCCAGGCCTGATGCTCCTGTCCCTCACCACAGATCGCCACCACCCGCCGGCTCACCGTGCACTTTAACCCGCCCTCCAGCTGCGTCCTAGAGATCAGCGTGAGGGGCGTGAAGATCGGCGTCAAGGCTGATGACTCCCAGGAGGCCAAGGTGACCCCCACAGCCCCTTCCCCATCCCGGCTCTCCCTCCTCTGCCCCCTGCAGGCTGATGACCACCCTCTTCTACTCTTCCTCCTGCAGGGGAATAAATGTAGCCACTTTTTCCAGTTAAAAAACATCTCTTTCTGTGGATACCATCCAAAGAACAACAAGTAAGTGGGGAGGAGCAGAGGCTGAGCTGCCATCGGGGCAGGACAAGGGGCCATGAATGTGCCTGGAGGGGTCTGAACCCCCGTCCTGCCCAGACAGACTGCTGTCCTCCCACAGGTACTTTGGGTTTATCACTAAGCACCCCGCTGACCACCGGTTTGCCTGCCATGTCTTTGTGTCTGAAGAATCCACCAAAGTCTTGGCGGAATCTGTGGGGTACGTATGTGTGTGTCCTGCCAAGAGCCGTGCCCACCAGCCAGCCCAGGCCCAAGCCCAAGCCCTCAAGCACAATCCTCGTGCTCAGCCTCACCCTCAGCACCCTCCCACTCCCCGGCTCTGCACACCGCCTCCAGGTCACAGTGCAGGGACCTTGGGAGAGGCCTTGAGGAGTAGCTTCCAAGCATTTTAGCTGTTAGACCCTTTCGCCAATTGCAGTCTCATTTAGGAAACACAGTTTGTAGAGAACAGGGCCGAGCAGCCAGGAACCTGGAGCCACCCGGGGACCCTGAGGCTCCGGTTTGAGAACCTGGGGTAGGCTCCTGTTCCTCCCAGCCAGCGTGTGTCTCCTGCCTCCTAGGAGGGCGTTCCAGCAGTTCTACAAGCAGTTTGTGGAGTACACGTGCCCCACGGAAGACATCTACCTGGAGTAGCAGCGCTGCCTGCCCTCTGCATCCCTGGGGCCTCAGGCCAGTGCCAGGACAGCTGGCTGCTGACAGGACGTGGCACTGCTGGAGGAGGGGCACCCGCCGCCACCAGAGGGTGGGGGAGTGGAGGCCATCGGCCGAGGGTGGGAGGGTGGGGGTTACGGGGAGAGGCAAATGCAGTTTATTGTAATATAAGGGGTTAGATTTATCTATGGAGGACAGAGCTGGCTGCCCGGGGATTGGGTGGGGGCAGGGCTGGTCAGGCCTGTGGCCAGGAAGGATGTACAACCATGAGCAGAGGGTTCTGTCCCATCCTGGGCCACGCTTCCCCTGCCAGGGCCTCTGGCTCTCTTCTGCCTTGATGAAGCCCATGCCACCTGCAAGTGCCCACCCTGCCCCCAACTCCCAACCCCAACCAAAGGCCCTGAGCTCAGGCTGAGACCGGCACCTCCTAAGGACTTTCCGGTAAGGAAACGGCAGCGGGTGGAGGTGCATCCCTGTCCCCAGCTCTGTCACTTGTGTGGCCTCTGGCTGGCTCCACCTCCAACCCCGCTGGCATGCTGGCCCCCGCGGTTGTGGGGCCCCTCAAGGAAGGAGAGACCCACAGCAGGGCCCCACCCTGGCAGGAAAAGGCGGCTTCCCCCTGGCTCGGGCCAGCCCGGCCTCTTGGCTGCTTTGGCTGTAGCCCCATCTTGGTCCTGTCACCCTGGCCACAACTATTAAAGTGCCATTTCCTGTCTGGACTGCAGTGGGTGTATCTACTTGGACCCTGCCTGCCCATGCTCAGCTCATTCCCAACCAGGAAAGCCCAAGGCTTTACTGCACAGAATAGCTTTATAAGTGATTCCCGTCACCGGCGTGTGTCGAAGTAATACTCAGCCATGTCTGGTCCATCCCGCTTGCGCTGCTGGGCCCGGGAGAGGAGGGGCCGGGGCCCTCGAGGCCTTGGGTGCTTGGGTTGGATCCCATAGTCTAAAGAGAAACAAGAGGGTGTGGGTGGAGGGAGACTCTGGTTCTGAATCTGAAGTCACCCCTGAACAGGTGCTGCTTGAGAAAAGATGACCCTGAGGCTGGACCTGGATGCCCTCCCCTAGGGCGTGTCTCCTCAGGGAAGGGGATGCGGGATCCTACCATCCAGCAGGTCGGGCAGTGGCTGTGAGAGTTCCAGGGGGGCTGAAAGTTCCTCGAGAACAGATTGCTGAGGCCTGTGGGAGATGTTGGGGTGCTCAACGCTGGCCCCAAAGGCCACTATCGCCTCCCTGTGAAGCAGGGAGTAGTCCAGGCTAATAACACCAGCTTCTCCTCCTCTGTCATACTGCTCCCCACCTCCTAGGCCCCAGGCCCTGCTGAGCCCTGACCCTGTGCTCCTGAGAGTTACCTCAGCAGCGGGGGGAGGAGGAGGGAGAGGAGGCAGAGGCTTAGCCCGGCCCTGGAGAACAGAGCCATCTCCTGCTCGGTCCCGGATCCCGGCTTCTGCCGCCCCTCCCCCAGCAGACGGAACTGCTGCCAGCTCCCAGGGCCACCTCACAAAGGACATTAGTTCCGGGGCTGAGCGTCAGCACTAGCTCCTGACTAGGCCAGAAACCTCCACACTGAGGCTTTTCCTTGGCTTTTACTGACGACGGAGGTCAGTAGGTGCCAAATCACATCTTGTTCTAGTGCCATTGCCCAAGGCTTACGGGCATAGGCCTTAGAAGTCGGCTCTTAGTTCAAATCCCTACCTTGCCTCTTGCTAGGTGGACACGTCACTTATCCTCTGTGGGCCTCAGTTTCCTCATCTGTGAGGTAAAGCACATAATGTCTCCAAGGTCTGGCACACAGTAGGCCATCGGCAAAAGTCAGTCACTGAATCCTCATCTCCTAGAGCTCCTCCTTGCCTCCTGCTACCACCACCACCTCCACTGTCTCCCTCCAACAGCTCAGCCGTTCCAGGAAGCTCCTGCTGGCCAGCTAGGAGCCCAGAGCGGTCACTCGGCTTGGCTAGCTCCCCATAGCGTCAAACAGCCTGGCTCAGGGCCTCCACAGGCCCTGCCATCACCGCAGAGACTGGGCAGGGGGCAAGTTCAGGGGCAGAGGCTGGGGCCTGCTCCTCAAGTATAAGTTTCCAGAGGGACTACGGGATACCCAGCACTTGACATCTAGTGGGCGCTCAATAAAGATTTGTTGAATGAATAAATGCAATGCGACAGTGTGCTGGAGAATCTCTTCACAGCCTGTGGCTGAGTAGGGGACCCTGTCTTTGGTTCCAGTCGGCCCGTTCATGCGGGGCTGGCCTGGCTCACGCAGAAGCTCTGAACCCAAACGATGCTGGGGTGAACCACAAACTGGGCCCACCAAGACGGGTGGGATCAGAACCTGCGGCTGAGCTGGGGTCTGCACTTGGGAAACTCCGTTCCTTCTAAGACAGCAGATCCGCTGGCGGGTGCAACCCCTTCCTTCAGCTGCTGAGGTGCCTCATGCCCAGAGAGGTTTCCCAACCAGGCTCCTGGTCCAGCCCCCGCCGAGTCCGAGCAGCTCTGGAGTCTGCAGAACACCTACTCCCTGTGCTTGGAGCACACCCACCGACTACTCACTGACCACCACCTTTTCTGTGCCCTGAACACCAGTCTGCTTCCGTATCCGGTCCCCAGCAAAGCTCCCCTCTGCTGGGAACTGAGCTCCCCGACGCTCTAACTCCAAACCCCTTGTCCTTCACTCGCTTTGCCTCGAAGTTGCCACCTCTTCCTCTACCTACAACCAGTTCCAAGGCCTGCCTGGGCCACTCCTAACCCTATCGCCCTGCATGGCCTTAATTCAGCTCCATCAGTTCTAGGTCTCCACCAGCGATGTCACTGCCCCCATCTCTGTCTGTGCCTGCCAGCCCACCCTGCACCAACCAGCTTCCCCCTGCCTTCGAGGCAGGTCCATTTCTCACCTGGTACCTGACAGCCTGTTGGAGTTGGCCCTGACCTTCTCCAGCCTCAGCCCCTCTGTTCCCCCCACCTATTTCCCTCCGCCCCGGCTCTGGCTTCACACCACTCAACACCGTACACGCTATTCCACACCCAGGGCTCTTCCCCCGTCGGCCATCGGAAGACAGGTGGAGCTTTACCCGTTTAACAGCCGGCTTAAACACAGGCTTCCCTGACCAGTTAGCCTTCCCAGTCGTCAGCCTGAGCCGGAACGCACCCCAAGTCTAGACCACTTTTCACACACACTTGCACCTGCTGCAGCGACCCGCGTACTGCATGCATTTACATGCCAGTCTCCTCCACGCATTGCGGAGAGCTGGGGCAAGAACTGTGATGTACTCACTTCTGAACAAACTGCACAAAGCAGAGCCTGCTACAGAGCAAGTGCCCAGCAATCCTTGTTAGACATGAGGGAAGGCTGTGACAGGGCCTGGGGTTGGTGGCTTCTGAGGCACCAGGGAAAGCAGTCCGGGAAAGGCTGGCCCGGGTGCGGGGGGGGGGGGGGGGGTATCTTCACCTGGGAGTCTAGGAAGTGACGCATGACAGACACCGATGCAGACCAAGTTCTCGGAACCTAAGGGACCACCATCTGGCTAGAAACCAGCAGCACAGTGTGGCCTGTTTACAGGGAAAAGGGGGCAGGGCAGGGGGGCAGGAAAGGAAAAGACCAGGCAGAACCAGCACCCAGCTCCCCGAGCTGCTTTGGCTGCTGTTCCTTCCAGCCCAGCTGGTGCCTGGCATTCTTTTCCCAAATGAGAAAAGCCTTTTGCTCTCAACTAGGAGTTCAGGGCTTGGGGTACCACACTGCATGGAGCTGGGCCACCACTCACCAGGCTCCCTCACAGAAGCTGGTCCTGCAGGGGGCGGGGCAGACCGAGGCTCTGGCCGGAAGACACGCGGGCAGCTGTCATCACTGCCTAGGTTCAGCCTTGTCACCAAGAACCAGTGAGACGGGCAGTTGACTCCCGCAGCTGCCACGACAAGCAGCTCCCCACGCTGGAGGTTCAATGCCAGCTTTCTGTGGCTGTGGGACCTGGGTCCCATCCTAGCAGAGGCTTCTTGGTCCAGTGACAAGGTACAACTGCAGCGGCTCCACCACTGGAGGGTGCAGTCAAAGTCGAGAAGGTGTGAGAGGGCTGTGGTGGCACCCAGGGCTGAGCACAGAGCCTGGCCAGGGTGGGAGTGCCAGCCGCCCAGGCTGTGGGCATGGAGAGGCCAGACTTGGATAGTGCCAGAGTCAGTTTTATTAGGGCCCAGGGGCCCAAGGGCCCAAAGGGTTGAGGGTCCCCCTGCCCCTCCCCAGGCCCCACTCCCCGGATGTCTATTAGCCCCAACTGTAGAAATAAATTTTCTGCCAGGCAGGTAAGTAATCCATGAGTGGCTCTGCAATGAGAGAGAGAGAGAGAGAGAGAGAGAGAGAGAGAGAGAGAGAGAGGAGGGAGGAGGGAGGGAGGGAGGGAGGGAGGGAGGGAGGGAGAGAGAGAGAGAGAACACAAGTTCAGGATGAGGGCCAGACTCCAGGCTCTGCTCTGCCCAGGCTCCTGGCAGCCACTGCTGCTCAAGTACAGCTGTTCACATCTGCACGGCTGGAGCCCAACTCCCTCACCTCTTCACCCCGAGGAGGCAGTATCAGCAGTGATCTGTCTCCATTTACATGCTCATGCCCAGAAGCCACCCAGTGTGTCCAGCTGCACAGATGCTGCCAGCCCAGCTCAGTGGGGCTCTGCTGAGGTGGAATCTGTAAGCAGCCCAGTGTGTCCACCCAGTCTCATGTCACTCCAGGACACTGAGGCAGAGAAAAGGCTGACGGCTGATAAGGTCTAACATTCCTCCCACGGCAGGCACCCTCCTTCCAGCTGCCCGAGGCACGCTACAGACCGGCCTGGCCCAGGTCCTGGAGCTCTTCCCCACCTATCGTGACCTCCAGCCCCCTCTCTGGTTGTGGCAAGAATCAAATTACAAGGAGACAAAGAGAAGGCAGTCAGGGGGCTGGGCCACGCATGAGATCCACAGCACGCTGTAATAATCACACCCCGCCCCATGCTTACTTGTCACCAAGCCGATGCCCGGGACATGGTCTGCCAGCAGCTGGAGCAGGAAGAGTATCCTGGCCCTGCAAGGAGATAAATAGGGAGCAGGCTGAGTCCCTGGAAACGAGGTGCTAACACGCTTTCCCCGACCACCTGACTGGAGGCAGTGCGTCATGAAACAGAAAGCAACTACGGGGCAAGGACAGGCCGCGTACAAAGGACGAGACCTGGGGCACAGCTCTGGTCCTGCCTGCCCCCAGCCGCGGGCCCGGGATGCTCACGCCTGGAAGGCAGCCGGGCTGCAGAGAGACCGCACTGTCTCTGTGACTATAGGAAAAGGGGAAGAAGAACTGTGCCTTCCCAGACTGCACCCTGCTCCTGTCCTCTGGGGAAACAAGGGATTTCTCTGACTGGTTTCTAGACCCTTCTTAGCCTGAGCACCGCTATGCGAGTGCCAGGCCGATCAGCTCAGCGGACAGCGAGCCAAGCTGGAGCCTGGGAAGCCACCTCTGCAATTACTGTTTCAAAATGCCTGCCAATGAGCTACTCGGGCTGTGACGTTTCCTCTGTACAGAGCAGGCCATCTGTGGGGGGAGGTCATAAGGTTCCTATGAGCCCCCTGAGTATGGGAGAGGGTTTGGCTTTAGCGCCTTATGAGCAGGCCCTTGGGAGACTTGGCCCTGGCAACTCTCCCACCTCCCCCCCCCCCCCCCCCATACACACAGGCCTCCCTGTGTCTGTTTGAGGCTAAGAGCTCTGGAGCCTCACAGGTGACAAAGTGGGGTAAGGCAAGGGTTAGGCCAAGAGAGAACTTGGATGAAGGGATTCGGCTCTGCTACAGGCCAGCTGAGTGGCTTTGTTTAAACTGCCCAACCTCTTTGAACCTCAAGTGCCTCCTGTAACAAGTGGGGGTAATCCAAACTACTGGACAGGAATGTGCAAGTGACCTGGAGGGTGTGGCAAGCCCAAACCCACCACCATCCCTGGCAAGATCCTCTGTGCCTCCTGCCAACAACTGCTTAAGCTCCTATACCCATGGCTGGTGGGTCCCAAGAGCTCGGAGAGCAGATCTAGGCTGGATCCAATAAAGGAACAAGTGACCACATCCCAGGACAGCACATAGTAGGTACTCAGTGAAGCTGGGGTGGGGGAAAGAGGGAGGGAGGAAGGCGAGAACAGGCGTTGGGGCACTGATATCCCACTTCCTGCCTCTCTCCCTTGCTGAGGGTGGGCCCCGCCATCCACCGTTCGCTGTAGGGCCCTTACTCGGAGAAGCGGTCGTAGAATGGGGAGCGCAGCAGGTAGTAGAGCAGCAGGATGGTCCGACGCCGCAGCTCCAGCCGCTCCCTCCGGGTCAGGCCCTTCCTGTCGCTCAGGAGGCTCAGACTGGGGAGACGAGGGAACATGGTTAGGACCAGCAGCAGGAAGAATAAGGGGCGCCTCGTGCCCAGGTGGGGCCAGGCCTGTAGCACAAAGCCTGGAGGAGGGAGTGGAGCCCCCAGTCAGGCCCGGGCTCACCTGGTCACATCCACGACACCAGACAGGAGCCAGGGTTTCCACGACCGCTGCCCCCATAGGCCCAGGCTGAGCACTGACGGCCAAGGCGTCAAGGATGTCTCCAGCACAGGGCCCGCCCTGCTCACTCCCCTCGATCCCTACCCCCAAGTGCCGGCAGCCCCACGCTAAGGATACAATGCAGCAGGGGCCGGGCAATGTACAAGGACTCCGCGATGGTCTCCTGCAGCCCCAGAGGGGTGGGGGTGATGCAAAGCTCCTCCTGGTGCTGCTGCTGCCGTCTCTCCTGCTGCTGGGGGGCTCCCCAGTGCCTGGAGTGCAGGGACGGGGCTAGAACACAGAGGCAGATGAGCAGCCAGGCCCAGGCTGGGCACGGGGAGGGCGGGTGGTGAGGAGAGCCAGGCCCGCAGGCCCATGATGGCTCCGCACTGAGATGCCCCGTCCGGCTATGCCTCACACTTACTGTTCTGAAGCGTTCGCACCACTCTGTTTGACCGCTTCCCCACGTATGACTGCTCCTGGCTGCTGTGCTCACCATCTAGCAGGGACAGACAGAAGGCCACGCTGTCAGAGGGACGTGTTTCCAGCAGAGACTGCAAAGAATCTGTGTGCAGTGAATGAAGGCTCGTGGACTCGGGGGAGAATGGAGGAGCCTGGGCGAAGGCAGCAGCGGAGGCAAGGACACTGAAGCAGGGAGAACCCAACCACATCTACAGAAACCACAGCAATAGAGCAGCTGTATCTCCTTAATCTTTGGCTTTCAACATGATCAAGAGGAGAAGCAACGAGCTGTTTCCGCTCAAGGCCAGGAGAATGAGACTCAGAGCCCAATAGGTGATGGGCCTGAAGCTCTGAAGGAACAGATCTGCTGGGGGGCCTGCCTCATGAGCTGGGGGTTCTGAATATGGAGGCAGGCCCAGAGATAAGGCTGGCAGGATCCCCATCTCCTGCTCACACTCTTTCTTCTCTTCCTGCAGCCCACAAAAAAGGATGGGGCCTCTGGTGTCAGAAGTCCTGCGTTCAAGTTCTGATTCTGTCCCAACCCAATTTCTCTCTGCTCTGTAAAACGTATAGTGACGGGAACAAATGAGTTGATGGGGACAGATGTGCTCCATTAATGGACAAGACTCACGGGGTCAGCTCTAAATCCACAGAGTAGTCCCACGCTTACTCCACCCCAGAGCGGGGAAGCGGCTTACCCGGGGGCCGTGCCTGGGTCTCCCTGTCCAGCGGAACGATGGGGGGTGAGGTCTGGAGGCCAGCCTTGAACCAGATGAGCAGGAACATTCGCAGTACTGCCCTGGATTGGGAGTATGGCAGGGCTGGTGGGGAGGTGACTAGCCGGCAGGGGTGCAGAGGTGAGCTGTTGAACCCCATCCATGCAGCTGGCCTTGGTTATCCCCACCCAGGGCCTTCCCTCCACAGTCCCAACATACTTGGCCAGCTGGATGAGGGCAATGACGAGCCAACGGCCCACTTCACCCCACACCTTGGCGGCCCCCATCTCCATGAACACCTCCACACACTCCAGCACGCTCAGCCATGTTAGCAGCTTCTGCTGGGACAGCGACTGCAAGAACCCCAGGCCAAGAGATCAAGGGACACGCCCCCATCCCAAGCCTCCCCCAGGGCCCTCCTCTGACGGGAGGTGGATTTTCCCCTTCCCAGGTATGAAGGCCTGAGTTCTCCACCTGGGACAGGCTACTCCATGATTCCGAAACAGTCTCTTCATCTGAAAATGAGGACGTGGACACCTTGACACTTCACCTAATGAGATGGCCCGAGGCTCAAATGGACATAGGCATGTCTCGTATTCCATGAGACCGTACATAGCATGTGCTGCACACACAGGCTGGTTGTTACTGTCTTTCCTGAGTCCCTATGCTTCCCGCCCTCGGTTCCCGGCAGAATGCTCACCACGGGCAGCTTTTTCCGAAGCTCCTTGCGCAGGATCCCATCATTGAGCAGCACAAGCAGGTTAGAGGCAGAGTACACTGAGGGACAGAGTGTGGTCTTGAGAGGCTGGCTCTGCAGCCTCCACCTCCTCACCTTCTCCCCAGAGATGCCTGGATCACCTACCACCTGCTGTGCTCAGCCACCCACGGACTATGTGGAAACCGACCTGCCTCCCTGCCCACTTCCTCAGCGCGCCACACTCCCCAAGAGTATCTCGTGTGGCAGGTGGAACAAGAAAGGATGGTTTGATCTCAGTGAAAAACCAACCCAGAACTGCCCTTTGTGCTCCAAATAGCCCCAGATGTGTGGTTTCACCTCCTGGCCTCCGCTCTCTCTGCAGCTGGTCACGGAAAGCCTATTGCATCTCCACCTTTCAAAACCCAGCGCTTCCTTTCAGCACCATCCCCTGCAGTACTCACTGGGCAAACACTACAGAGGCAGGGTCAGCCTGGGGACCCTGGAACCTGGGAAATCTGGATTTGAATCCTGGTTCTGGGATCATCAGCGGCTGTTCTCTGACCTCACTGAACTTCTGCTCCCTTGACTGGACGCTGAGGACAACAGCACTGACCTCATGTGACTGTCGGGAGGATTAACTGGGCAAAGGCAAGGAAAGCACTTGGGCCAGCCGCCTGACCCGTCAAGGAGCTCAGATTTGTCTTTCAGCCCTGGGGACACCGAGGGCCCAGGACAGTGGATGCTGGACCTTTGTGCGAGTCAGTCATAGCACAGGACGACCTAACGGGAGCCGGGGACTGCGACTTGGGGAGGTCACCCACTGGGAGGCACTCCTGGGCCCTCTCGCCTCCCACCCTGCACCCCCCTGAGCCCGGCTCACCCAGCTCTGACAGCTCGTGCGAATCGGCGAAGCGACCTGAGGAGAAGACACAGAAGGAGGCGTCTGTGAGCGCTGTCCCACCCTGCGGGTTCGGGTGCCTGGGTGTCCCCTCCCTACGCCCTACGGGTGCCTGGAAGGAACTTCTTGAGCCCAGGGAACACCATCCTGACCCTCCGGGAAGGGGACCTGTGGGGTCAGAGGTCAGTGACTCAGAGGGACGGGTCAAAGGTCGGGGTGGCACCTGCCAGCAGGTAACTGAAGCCCCGCACTGCCGTCTCCAGCTGGGCCGTGGCGGCCGGGTGACGAGTCACGTACTCCTGGTAGCGGAGGCCCAGGAGCCGCAGCTTCTCCATCCTGCCCGGGGACCGACAGACCCACTGACCGACTGTGCCAGTGGCTGCGGCGCCTGGCTTCCTGTGCCCTCCTTCCTGCTTCCGGCGCTAGGCCCGCCTCTCGGTTGCTTAACTTCCGCGGTCTGGAAGGACGGTGACGTGAAGGGCCCTTGAACCCCAGATCACCCCATCTTTTTACATTGCCTCCCCCCGCCCCAAAGTAGCGCCTAGCAACTGAGAGCCTAATCCGCCCTCCCCGCTCCTCCAGGTCATTGGTTAACACACTCTCCGCCCTCCAGTGACACCCCCAATCCTCCCCCGGGGCAGCTCAGCAAATCCGGACCGGGTTTCCGCCCTCCCGGTTGGCTGCCCTTGCGCACGCGCAGCTCCAGCCCCGGGGAAGCTCCGGGGCGGTCTGAGCCACGTGCTCTGGAGCAAGGTCCCGGCGCCTAGAGTCTTTCCAATGGAACGCCGAGATGCTCGAACGCGAGGGCCGGGCTTTAAAGGGGCTGGGAGGCAGCGGCGAACAGGAGCCTTCATCGGACTTGAGGGGGCGCCGAGAGAGTCTAATACAGTGGGGGTGTGTCTCGGCAGGCGCGCGTGTCGCCAGTTTCATCGCCTTCCGTCCCCATCAGAGGCCGTGCTAAGGGAACGGAGGCAGCGATGGGTCCTGCATCCCACGCAGGCTCAATGCCCCAGACAGCACCGTCAGTGCCCTGCTTCGGCCCAAGCTCTTCCCGCAAGGGCTTTGCCCACCAGGAGCGCGCACCTGCACTCCCACCTCCGTGGAGAAGCCCTGGCCCAAGCTTCGGCTCTGGGCTGGGGAGATTCCCTTCTCAGAACCTCGGGTTTCCCCATCTGTGAAAGGGTTTGAGAGCAGACTTGGTCCGCTTTCGGGCGTCAGCTGCTCCATAAGCAATGGGGGCAAATCCTGGGGACCCCTTCCCAGTAGCCTCCTAGAAAGGGGCTGCGCCGGGAGTAGAGTGGCTGGAGGCGAGAGGAGCAAACACTCCGGAGAAGCAGCTGCTGATTGGCTGTGGAGGAGGGGGCGGGGCTGCTGGCAGGTTTGTGGTACCCTGAGAACAGTAATTCATTATTTTACCTAATCTTTTCCTCCAGATACTATCCCCAGATGAGGAAAGGATCCGCTTATGAACACAGTCAAGCCCTAGCCGGTTAGGCTCAGTGGAAAGAGCGTCGGCCTGCGGACAGAAGGATCCCAGATTCAATTAGGGTCAAGGGCACATACCTCAGTTGGAGGCTCCTGCAGGAGGAAACCAACCAATCTATGCATTTCTCTCACATTGATATTTTTCTCAGTCTTCCTTTCTAAAATCAATGGGGAAATATCCTCGGGTGAGGATTTTAAAAAGAAGAAGAACCCATTCAAGATTCAAATCCTGGTCTAATCTGACCAGTTAGGTGTTTTAAGCAGCACACCTCACCAGGAAGCCACATTCCCTCTTTGCTCTCCCTCCCCCAAGCCTTCTCTCCAGCACACTTTCTAATCTGGGTGAGGAATCACAGCTGCCCTCCCAACTGGGGACTCAAGGGGCCGCGTGCTAACCTGACAAGCTCAGGGAAGGCCTGCATGGCAGTCTTGCAAACTCAGAGATCTAAAGTACCACAAAGGATGGTCTGAAATTAAACTTTAAAGTAGTTTTGGTGGGTAGTCACCTCCTAGGCCTGTATCTTCACTGACAAGGCCAATCTTTACCTTAACTGCACCTATCTGTCTTTTTGCATCTATAACAACACTACAGGCCTGGTGCACGGATTCATACACTGGTGGGGGTCCCTCAGCCTGGCCTGCACCCTCTTGCAATCCGGAACCACTGGGGGGATGTCAGGCTGTGGTTTCGGATCAGGCCTGAGGAATGTAGCAGTGTGCCAGGCAGCTGGGGAGGGGCCTGAGCCCAGGCCAGGCGTTGCTCCCACTCATTCCAGCCCTGCAGTGCCTGCTGCCACTCAATAGCCACAGTAGCACAGTAGCTGTGAGCCCTGCGTCTGAGGCCCCATGGTCAGCTGAGCAGTGCTCCAGCTGTGGGAGAGCATTGTCCACCAGGGGGCAGCTCCTGTGTTGAGCTTCTGCCCCCTGGTGGTCAGTGCACTCATAGTGACCAATCGACAGGTCTTTGGGTGGTCCAGTCTTTTGGTTGCTTAAGCTTTTATATATATATAGATATCCTTGAAATGTCTGGGTAGCTTGTAACTTCCCTTTTTCTGGACGGACCCCTTTGGGTACAACCTAATGTGCCTGGGCACCAGAGGTTTCCCCACTTTGCTTTCTCCCATTTGCTCTATCACCAGTGGATTTCACGTAACCCACCTACATCTCTTTCTTTGATTGCAATGTATAAAAATAGATGAAAACCGCCATTCTCCAGAGCTCTATCCCAATCCGTTGAGACACTGCTTCCCGGCAATTGTCGACAATTTGGCTCAAATAAACTCACAAAAATTCTTTACAGGTTTGAATGTTTTTAAGTTAACATTACTCAGACCAAGGAATGAAGACCCAAGGAGATGTGTCCAGTGCTCTGCAGAGAAGCAAAGGTCTTGGAGAGCACAGGAGATGGGTGTGGGCATCACTAACACAATTTCTCTCCACCTCCCGAATGCCCAGCTCACTCACTCAGCTCTTCTTAGCAACCTTGCCATGTTGCTAGGAACTCCTTTCCACAGACGGGGAATAAGAGGCCCAAGGAGGGGAAAAGACTGGTCCCAGATCACACAGAATGGTATTGGCCAAAAGGACAACAATGTAGGTCTCTCGTGGCAGTACTCACTTTCTCCTATGGCTCACAGCCCAACAAGCCATTGGTTATGAGTCAAGTTAGCAACTGGCATTAAGTTAAGACCAGGGCTCAGGGCATTTGGTGTAGGGCTTTTTCCCCCTTCCTACCTGTACCTTACCATCTTATTATTATTATTATTATTATTATTATTGATTTCAGAGAGGAAGGGAAAGGGAGAGAGAATCATAGATTGGCCGCCTCCTGCACACCCCCTACTGTGATCGAGCCAACAAAACAGGCATGTGCCCTTGACTGGAATTGAACCCAGGACCCTTCAGTCCACAGGCCGACGCTCTATCCTCTGAGCCAAACCAATTAGGGCATCACCTTACCATTTAATGAACTTGTTCCCCAAACCTCACCAGTGGGTACACCTCCACTTCCCTCTGTGGCTGTGGAAGAGTCTGGAGGGAGACTGTGTAATGTTGGGCTTCTGGAAAGGAGAGAGGCATGGAAAATAGAGGGGCAGCCTCCTGCAGACAGAAGAAGAAGAAGGGTTCTTAGGCTTGAGCCTGTTTCTCCTGCCTCCCTCTGTTGTAGGTGGTGGGAATAGCACCATTATGTCTGCTGGGGGAGAGGGGTCAGACCACACCTGGGTTCAGCTACTTTGGTACTTGGGTTCTGGCTAGGAAAGAACTCAGAGCCCAGACCCAAACTGAGAGAAAACAAATTATTGGGTAAATTAAAGAGGTAGAAAAAGTGATTTCTAAAAGAAATGGGCTTAGGAAACAAGTCATGGAGGAAAAGGAAGGGCCCTTGGAGCTTGGGAGTGGCCAATAATGGTAGGTAATGTGCCTGGGGACAGAAAGGGAAGGGGAGAGGAGGCACTGGGCCCTCTGTCCTAAGGGCAGATATTTTAGGGGAGGCCTCAAAAAAAGATCTTTGAATATTCAGTAGCTTTGCAGGTGTGTCCATTTGGGTTGTAGTCTTTATTGATTGGTTGGCTGGCACCAGGGCGGGGTTGTGGTGGTGAGGTCATTATTCAGTGCAGCTGGTCAACCCTGGCAGGTTGCATTGCTTATCTGGGCCTGGAGCTGAGATACAACTGAAGACCTACATGTTATCTCTAGGGAGGAAAGGTCAGGGGATTCCAACCCTGACCGTGCTATGCTAGGAGAGGAAAGGTCACCCTGGGGGCAAGGTCCCACTCTTCAATTGATTGGCCATTGCTTGGCACCTAGGACTTTGGTGCCAAAGCCCTGAAGACCTTCTACACCTGACCAACTGTCCTTGCTCTGCTCATGTCAGTCTAACTGCCTACAACATGTCTACGACTGGGAGGGGATCCTGGGCCCAGCCAGGTGGACTGCAGGAGGGCTGTCTGAATTTCCTCTCCAGATTCTGGGCTTGATTATGGCCCAGAGACAAAGAATGACTGTGTGCAGGTGGCGCCCAGGGCAGCTCCTCCCTGCTGGGCCACTGCCTGGATTTGGTCACCTTTCAGGATTGGAAAGGCCTCTGGGCAGGTTGGGCCGGGTCTCCCCTCCTTAACTCTGCCCTGAGAACCCCTCCCCTCCTTAACTGAGCCACAGAGGACCAGAGCTAGACTAGTCCAACAGGTACTGATAGACACCGAGGCCCAGAGGGGTGTCACCCAGCCAAGTGCTGGGCAGATGCAGGTCTCAGGTTTAGAAGACCAGAACACTCCATATGTTCATATCAGTCTCCCTTTCCCCTCCTTACCCCCAGATCTCCTCCTGGAGGCCCAGCAGGCATCTCAGCATCCCAGTGTCCCCTAAATTAAGGTGACCAGATCGTCCCGCTTTTGAACCATTTTTCCCAAGTCCCATGGCATTTAAAAAAAAGTCTTGATTTTTGGAAAGAGTACAATCTTTCTAAAAATCAGGACTTTAAAAAAAAAACACCCACATATTTTATTGATTTTTTACAGAGAGGAAGGGAGAGGGATAGAGAGTTAGAAACGTCGATGAGAGAGAATCATAGACCAGCTGTCTCCCGCACACCCCCCACTGAAGATGTGCCCGCAACCAATGTACATGCTCCTGACTGGAATCAAACCTGGGACCCCTCAGTCCGCAGAGCCAAACCAGTCTCAGAGGAAAAAAAAAAAAAAAAAAAATAGGAACTTTTTTAAAACGCCGCGGGACACAGGAAAAATTGTTAAAAATCAGGACTGTCTTGCCAAAAGCGGGACGATCTGGTCATCTTACCCTAAAGGGTAAGGTTGAGTAAGGAGCAGGGCCAGCACTGTGAGTGACCACAGTCCCTCTCAGTCCCAGATGCTGGCCCAGCTCCCCCCACAAACTCCCTTGCCAGGCCCTGCTCCCTCAAATTTACCCCCCACAGAGAGTCTATTGAGGGTCTTGCAGAAAGATTCACCCACTCCCCATCCAGCTCTAAGCTAGAGATAAGCGTTAGAGGGGCTGAAAGCTCAAAGCTCCAGATGCCGGGGTTGTCCCTGCAGCTCCTCATCTCTCAATTCCCACATCTACAGGGGCTGCCATCCATCTCCATGGCAACCATTGCCTCTGGCCTCCAAAGGCCCAAAGACCCTCATCCCCCAGAGAAAGGCATCCTGGCCTCTCGGCGGAGGCTTCAGGGTCTCAGGCTGGGAAGCTTTGTTACAGCTTTTTTGGGGACTTGGGACCGCCCAGGCCCTCACTTTTTAGAGCTGGATGTTGGGCTAAAAGACCCAGATGGGGCCCATCCACTTTCAGCACCACTTACTGAGTACTGGGTATGGGCCAGGCTCTGCTTGGGTGTTGGGGACCCAGTCCCTTGAGCAGACGCCAGCTGTGGGAGAGACAGGTTATCTACGTATCTACATAAAAAGGCCCAATTTCAAGAGTGCTAGGAAGAAAATAAACCTAGGGATGTGGGAGGAGGGGCAGGCCTGGTGAGAGCCTGGCAGAATCCAGGCAGAAGGAACCAAGGACAAGTCCTGGGGCAGGAAACCCTCAGGGAGGAGCAGCGGGGAGCGGCCTGCAGGGCAGGGGCTGGGGAAGAAGCCCGGGTGTTCTAACTGGTCCCTTTAACTCTCAGGGAGAAGAACGCCTGTGTCACGGGACTCATGTCTGCGATGCAGCCTGTGGAACCACAGCACCGAGCCTGGCACGGAGTAACACGCTCAGTCAACCGCGACTGTCGTTCGTGGTCCACAGCGTCCCCCCTGCCTCTCCCCTCCCCAATTCAGGGCGAAGACTAGGCTGGAGCCTGCAGTGGGGGCGGGGGCGGGGGAGTGGAGGAGGAGGTCCAGGCGGGACCCTGCACAATCTCATCCAGGCCGGAGTCGGGGAATCCAGGCCCCGCGTCAGTGAGGTCTCTCGCCAGTTCCTGGGCAAGAAAGAGGCAGCGGTCCCGAGGAGCCTTGTCCCAGCCCCCCCTCCCCCCGCCCCCCGCTTGGCTGGGCCCCTTGACGGCGCGGGAGGCGGCGTGGGGAGCTGGGGACGGAGCGGAGGGACGATCAGGGAGGAAGGGGACTCAGGTGCTCCATGGTTCCGGGGCACGTCCTGGCCTCCAGCGCCCGGAGCAGGTGTCAGCCTCCCGTTCTCAGAGCAGGTGTCCCTGACCCCGGGGCTCGCATTCCAGCCTCCCCACTGGGCAGCCCCTCCATTCCGGGCCAGGGTCAGGGCCCCACCCACCCCCGGAGGGAGGTGAAGGGAAGGAGGGGAGGCCTTAGGGCAGCCAAGAAGGGGATGGGCTCAGAGCAGGCACCTGGGACTGAGCCTTCCCGGGGCGGCCCCCCACTTCCTCCAGTCTGGGGGGGGGGAAAGGCCATGGGGGGCAGGTTACCTGGGTTCCTCCCCAGCTGGGGGTGGGGGTCGGATGCCGGGGCGGAGGCGGGGCCAGGCCTCCCTGCCCGGGGGTCTCCCCGCCCCTTCGGGCTCAGCCAAGCGGAGGTGAAACCTGAACCCAGGTTGGGGGCGGGGCCGGCTCCTGCTCGGACGGGGCTGGCCTGCGCTTTCACCCCCCTTTTCCCCCGGCACCCCGCCTGGCTTTGGGAAGAGAAAGGACCTGCTCCCCGAGCCGCAGGACTAGGTGAGGTGGCAGCCCAGCGCGGGAGGGCAGGGGACGGGCGGCCGTCGGGGCCCCGCCGCCCAAGGCTGACGACCCTCCTCTCTCCCCGGATCCTCAGGGCCCGCGATGGAGCCCGCAGCCCGGGGCCGCGCCCCGCCCTGAGCGCCCCGCAGACGGCCATGCTGCCCCGAGGGCGCCCCCGGGCGCTGGGGGCCGCGGCGCTCCTGCTGCTGCTGCTGCTGCTCGGCTTCTTCCTGCTCGGCGGGCACCTGGCGTCCTTCCCCTGCGCGCTGCCGCCGCGCGTTCCCCCCGACGGGCGGCCGCGGGGCGCTGCTGCCTGCGACCCGCACCCGCAGGCGGACCTCGGGGGCCACAACCGCTCCGACTGCGTCCTGCCGCGGCCGCTGCCCCCCAAGTGCGAGGTGGGTGTGCAGGGGGGCCCCCGGCGGCGGGAGACCGGGCGCCCAGCGGCCACCTGGCCACCTGTGGGAGTCACAGCACCTGGCGCTGTGGCCAGCCAGCTGGGGCGCCTGGGGTTCGCGCCTCCCCTTACAGGTGTCCGTTTCCCCATTTGTGAAATGACAGGGGGGAAGGGGTGGACTCTGCCCACCTCCCCGCCCCTCCTCCCCAGCTCAGGTGCCTGGCGGGCTGCACTGCGCCAGGCCAGGCCAGGCCAGCCGTGGTCCTCCCTGATTTAACACAGGTTACAGCCTCCGTGTCGCCCCCTCCCCCAGCTCTTGCACGTGGCAATCGTGTGTGCCGGGCACAAAACCAGCCGAGACGTCATCACGCTGGTCAAGTCCTTGCTCTTCTACAGGTAGGCCAGGTGTGGGGGGAGGGGCCGCCAGGCGGGGAGGCAGGAAAGAAGTCTTTCCACTTCTGAGCCGCTTGGGGTGGGGCTTTGTCCCCCGGTGTCCCAGCTTTCCTCCCCTGTCCCTCCCAAAGGAAAAACCCACTGCACCTCCACTTGGTGACCGATGCCGTGGCCAGGAACATTCTGGAGACGCTCTTTCACACATGGATGGTGCCCGCTGTCCGTGTCAGCTTCTATGACGCAGATGAGCTCAAGGCAGGAGCCCTGGCCCTTCTAATCCTCCCCAGGGCCCCCCCCCCCTTCCTCCCAGCGTGTGGAGTGGGGGTGGGGGGTGGGGTGGGGGGAGGAGAGGGGAGGTTAGAGCTGCCTGGAACTGTTCCCTCACACCCACTGAAGCTCAAACCCCTCACCCCTCCTGGTGCTCACCCCGTATGTTCTGATGCTGGTGGGCTCTTCTCTGCCAGGCTCATGCCCTGCCCTTCCCACCCACAGCCCCAGGTCTCCTGGATCCCCAACAAGCACTACTCTGGCCTCTACGGGCTAATGAAGCTGGTGCTGCCCGGTGCCCTGCCTCCTGACCTGGCCCGGGTTATTGTCCTGGACACAGATGTCACCTTCGCCGCCGACATTGCAGAGCTCTGGGCACTCTTTGCTCACTTTTCTGGTGAGAAGCCTGGGACCTGCCCCAGCCAAGCCCCCTCCCTGGCCCGTCCGAGCCCCCCACTGTGGCCTAGCCCTGAGCCAAGGGCCTGGGGTAGCCTCAAGCAGCTCCCTCATGCCCTCCCCTCCCAGACGAGCAGGTGATCGGTCTCGTGGAGAATCAGAGCGACTGGTACCTGGGCAACCTCTGGAGGAACCACAAGCCGTGGCCTGCCTTGGGCAGGGGATTTAACACAGGTGGGGATGGTGGTGGTGGTGGGGGGGGGGGGTGGCCACTGGCTTGTGGACTCCAGGGACTGGGCAGGGGGCACAGAATGCCAGGAAGCCCCCAGGAAGAACAGTGCAGGAGAAAGGTCACTGGGAGAAGAGCCAGAAGACAATGCCAACCTTGGCTGTGCCTGCTGGATGACTTTGGCCAAGTCCCTTAGTCTCTCTGCACCTCAGTTTTCTCATCCATTCAATGGGGCTTTTACCAGCCCCCGGATCACTGAATGTGAGAAGACGGTTGTGGACACGCTCTGGAAGCTGTGCAGTGACTCCCCTTCACCCCCAAGAGGGTTGAGTGTTTATAGAGGTTGTCCTTGCCCCTGTCTGACAGAAAGTACCAAGTCAAAAAACAAACATTCCCAAGAATCCCACATGCCCCTGGCCCCGGAGCTGGGTCGTCCCAGGTGGGGGTGACTTCTCCTCCTTGTGGCAGGTGTCATTCTCCTGTGGCTGGACCGGCTTCGGCAGGCCGGCTGGAAGCAGATGTGGAAGCTGACAGCCACCCAGGAGCTCCTCACCCTGCCCGCCACCTCGCTGGCTGACCAGGTCTGGGGCCGGGGAGCCCAGGCTTGGGGGGAAGGGGACAGGGGGCAGGCTCAGGGCCAAGGTGAGATAGATAGCTGTCTCTGCCCAGGACATCTTCAACGCTGTAATCAAGGGGCACCCGGCGCTGGTGCGGCCCCTGCCCTGCGTCTGGAACGTGCAGCTGTCCGACCACACGCTGGCCGAACGCTGCTACCTGGAGGCGGCTGACATCAAGGTGAGTGGGGGTGGGGGGACAAGGGTGGGGACTCCTGCCTCCATCCCCCCCACCGATACCTTCCCGCGTCCCAGGCGGTCCACTGGAACTCCCCGAAGAAGCTGCGAGTGAAGAACAAGCACGTGGAGTTCTTCCGCAACCTCTACCTGACCTTCCTGGAGCACGACGGGAACCTGCTGCGGAGGGAGCTCTTTGGGTGCCCCAGCCCGCGCCCCCCGGAGGCCGAGCGGGTGAGAGGGACCTGCCTTGCCTGGCCTTGGGGGGGAGGGGGGGAAATCCCGCCCCTCTCCGCCCTGGTGGGACCCAGCTTGGTCTGGGGACTTGTCCTCCTGCCCCAGCCCGGTCCTCCTGCCCTCGACCCCCTCAGCTGCAGCAGGCCCTGGCCCAGCTCGACGAGGAAGACGCCTGCTTCGAGTTCCGGCAGCAGCAGCTCACAGTGCACCGCGTGCACATCACCTTCCTGCCCCACCAGCCGCCGCCTCCCCGGCCCCACGACGTCACCCTGGTGGCGCAGCTCTCCATGGACCGGTGAGGATGCGGCAGGCAGCCCCCGTGGGCTGGGCCTGGGCCTCGGAGTGGCAGGTGTCCTGCGGAAGGAAGAGCTCTCCGTGCCTGCTACCTCGGGAGTTCCCGAAGTTGGAAACACCGGATGTGGTGGTGGGAGGAGCATGGGCTTTGGGAATCGCTCAGCTGACAGGGGTAGCTCCTCCGTGGCTGTGGGACCAGGGGCAGATCTTCATATCCGTCCGATGGGAATGACACTCCTGGTGGGGTAATGGTGAAGCCGGTCTTATTTCATCTTCACCATTATCCCACCAGGCGGGTCATTCTCGTCGGACAGATGAGAAAATGAGCTCAGTCATTTGAGGGGTTGTCCGTAGCAGCTAACCCGGGAGGTACTCCAGCCCTCCCTGGCTGACCGCCCCCCTCACCCCAGGCTGCAGATGCTGGAGGCCCTGTGCAGGCACTGGCCGGGCCCCATGAGCCTGGCCTTGTATCTGACAGACGCAGAAGCCCAGCAGTTCCTGCGTTTCGTCGAGGCCTCGGAGGTGCTCTCTGCCCGGCAGGATGTGGCCTACCACGTGGTGTACCGGGAGGGTCCCCTCTACCCCATCAACCAGATTCGCAACGTGGCCCTGGCCCAGGCCCTCACGCCTTACGTATTCCTCACCGACATTGACTTCCTGCCCGCCTACTCCCTCTACGACTACCTCAGGTGGGTGGGGGTGAGAGTGGTATGCGGTTGGGATCAGAACCCTAGGCGAGCGGGTCCCTGCTCCCTTCTGGGCCTTAGTGTTCTCTGTAGAATGGGGTTTGTATTAGGGCACATGTGTCAAACACAAGGCCCGCGGGCCAAATCCGTCCCGCCAGGCCTTGCAATGTGGCCCGCACCTCGCTGTCATCACTGCACTCCGCTGCGTTTCCATCACAATGACAGTTTATGACTGTTCAGTAAACCATTCGGCCCGCGATTTAGGCTGGATTTTAGATTTTGGCCCCTTCTCCGAGTTCGACACCCCTATATTAGGGTAAAGTGACGAGATCGTCCCGCTTTTGGCGGGACAGTCCCGCTTTTCAACAATTTTTTCCGCGTCCCACAGCGTTTTAAAGAAGTCTCGATTTTTTAGAAAGATTTTTTAGAAAGATTCTTTCCAAAAATCGGGACTTTTTTATAACGCCGTGGGACGTGGGAAAAATGGTTGAACATCGGGGCTGTCCCGCCAAAAGCGGGACGATCTGGTCACCTTATTTAGGGCTGGGGTCACACTTTCTCCCTGGGCTGCCACAGGGGAGGTGGGGTGGGGGTGGATGGACTGCTTCCCACAGCTGTCCCACTCGTGTCTGCCTGCTCATGGGCGGCAGGGAGAGCTGGCCTTTAAGAGGCGGGCCCCTGGCTAACAGACGCAAGAGTCACTAGCCTGAGGGCTGGAGGCAGGGCCATCCCTCCCTCACGGTGCTGCCTCCTCAGGGCCTCCATTGAGCAGCTGGAGCTGGGCAGCGGGCGGAAGGCAGCCCTGGTGGTGCCAGCATTCGAGACCCTGCACTACCAGTTCAGCTTCCCCTCTTCCAAGGCTGACCTGCTGGCCTTGCTAGACGCCGGCTCTGTCCACGCCTTCAGGTAGGACAGGACCCTGCTCTGTCCCCCATTCCCCGTACCAGCCCCCGCCACCCACAAGCTCCGAGCCTCAGCCTAGCTCCTCGCCCTGTCCGGCTCCGCAGGCACCACGAGTGGCCCCGGGGTCACACGCCCACAGACTATGCCCGCTGGCGGGAGGCTCAGGCCCCGTACCGTGTGCAGTGGGCCGTGGACTACGAGCCCTACGTGGTGGTACCCCGTGACTGTCCCCGCTATGACCCCCGCTTCGTGGGCTTCGGTTGGAACAAGGTGGCCCACGTCATGGAGCTGGATGCACAGGTGAGGGGGGATCCTTCATGTCTCCAGCTTCGGTTTAAGTACCTCCAGGCCCGGGGAGTTCACCTTGTCTCAGCGGGACACCCTGCCCCATGGGGCAGCGCTACAGGAAGTCCCACCCTTCTGTAGAGCTACTGTTATCCGCCCTTTGGCCTGGCTTTGGCTTTTAGAGGCTCTTGGGTAAGGTGATCATATGTCCCGCTTTTGGCGGGACAGTCCTGATTTTTAACAATTTGTCCCGCGTCCCAAGGCATTTTAGAAAAGTCCAAGAGATTTAAAAGATTCTTTCAAAAAATTGGGACTTTTTTTTTTTAAAACGACACGGGACAAACTGTTAAAAATTGGGACGTCTGGTCATCTTACTCTTGGGTAAGCCTGCTCCCCACCCCCCAGCCCGGCACTGACCACTGCTCTGCCCTACCCTTGCAGGAATACGAGTTCCTGGTGCTGCCAGAGGCCTTCACCATCCACCTGCCACACACCCCGAGTCTGGACATCTCCCGCTTCCGCTCCAGCACCACCTATCGAGGCTGTTTGCAGGCCCTTAAGGACGAGTTCCTCCAGGACCTGTCCCGCCACTATGGGGCTGCCGCCCTCAAATACCTCACTGCCCTGCAGCAGCCCTGACCTCCCAAGGCTGGGCCTGCGTGGCTCTCCGCTGCCCTTGGCCTTGGCTCTCACTCACTCCGTTATTTAAATTATTTAAGGTCTCTGTGGGAAGGGTTGCAGTGGAGCACCTAGGGTGGGGCCTGGGGCCCCCCTGGCTGTTCTGTCACTGGGGTCTGCTCTCCCTCTGCCCCAGCTGGTTTGGGGCTGGTTCCCTCATCCTCAGCTGTGCACCTCTGTTTCATAATGAATGTTTAAAAGCTCTGTGTTACTATGTTCTTCTTGGTTTGGGGCATGAGGCATCCATGGGCCCAGGGAGTGACTCAGTCTCGCTGGGCCCGGCCTCCACCAGAGGCTGTGACTGGCGTGTGTCTTGCCCTCCCTCCCTGGCCCCAAACCCAACACCATGAGGCTGAGAGACTTTATTTGGCTTTATTTAGTAAAATGTTAAAATAAATAAATACAAATTGATCAGCTGCTCTGTATCCCCCTCCCACCCCCTCAAAACAAAACAAAAAAATCAAACAAACAAAAACTTTGAAGCACAAAACTCCAAATACAAGTTCTACCAAGACTGAGATCACAAAGGGCGTGGACAAAGACAGGTGGGGGCTGGCTGGCTCTTCTGCTCAGTGTGCTGACCCCTGGCTGCCTGTCCTGTCCTGCCTGGCTGCAGCTTACCCTGGGCCGAGGCCCAATGACACTGGGAGGGCAGGGGCCAAAGGCTGCGGTGCAGGACAGGGTGTCCCCGGGGTTCAAGAGAGCCTTCTGGACGGGGGAAGCAGGTGCGATTGGTGAGCCCCGCTCTCCCTTGGAAAGAGCTGCTTTGAAGAGTTCCACCCCAGTTCTAGGCAGGGTGTGACTCCCAGCTTCCTCCCCCTCATATTTGTGGGAGGGTCAGTTGTCTCCCGCCACCCCCTCCCTGCTTGGCCAGGCGCTGACACTGAGGATGGCAGAGTCTCAGGGTGAGAATGGGCCTCCTGTTTCCTGCCAACGGTGCCCAGCTGAGGGGTGGGGAGAGGCCCAGTCATGTCCACAGAGCACAGCTGCCTCCGTCTAACGGAGGCCATGGAATCGAGAACCCAGGGCCTGGAAAACGTTCCTGGGCCACCATCCATCTCACCACCCCAAAAGCCTTTGGACCCTGGAGCGAGTCTCCTGTGAAGCCCTTGGAAAAAGAAGAAGACCACACCCTAAGAGGCAGTGAAGGGAGGAACCACGTGGGGCGTGCTGGGTGTGAGAGCCCAAGGAGGTGCCGCTGGCCCCAGAGAAAGTACAGGGAGGAGGTGGCAGAGGCAGGTACACTCAGACGGGTGAGCAGAAACGGCCCTCCTCGTGGGAGAGGCGTGGGGGAAGCAAATGCACCCGTTCATGCCGCCTGCTGAGCCAAGCAGCAGCAGGGACACGGAGAGGCAGTTCCTGGAGGGACACCGGGCACTCAGGTGCTGCCAGCTGGAGGCTGCCATGGCCGTCTGCAGGCCCCACGAGGGCCTCCCTGCCAGGCACAACCAGCAGGTTTGCCCCCACGGGCCTGATAAGGAAGGAAGAAAGCAGAACTCCGGATGAGCTCAGAGGAGGGGAGACAAGACCGGGCAGGCTCCTTGAAAGAAAAAGGACCTGCAGGCCACATTGGCAAGAAAGTGAGCTGAGCGGGAAGATGACAGCAACATGACCTCACTGCCTCCGGGACACAGGCCTGATAATGGGCCCCATGACCAAGCGCCAGGTGGGCAGCTACCTGGTCCCAGGCCAGCGGGTGCTGGGCCTCTGAAGTGACTACAAAGCCAGCTGGTCTCAGATGTACCTGGCAGCGGCTAACCTCGGGTGTGGGGAACGAAGGAAAGGAGGGAGAAGGGTGTCTCAGGTGGTCACAGGCACCCACAGACCTGTGGGACAGAGAGGAAGAAGAGACTGGGTGACAAGGGCATTTTCTTTGTGGCAAGGGGTGTCTTAGAATTTGAGTCCAGAATGTGGGCTTGGGCAGGGTTGCATTTTTGTATCCTATACTGGCTGACGCCCCAACTGGCTCACAGCTGAACTTCAGGAAGAATCGACATTCCGACCTCCCACCCGAGGCACAGTCAGAGCGGGACTGCTCACAGGCAAAGCACCCGCCAATTCCAGTCCTGCCCCCACCCAATCCTCCGGCAGCTCCTTCCTGAGCGAGGCCCCCGTGATGATGGTTTCCCAGCTTCTGGGTCCAGACAAGTCGAACGGGAGGGCCCCGAGACAGGGCTGAGCCTGGCGCTGAGCTCTGAACCTCCGCCAGCTACTCCTCCGACTAGCCCAGGCACTTCCTCCGCTCCCTGACGAGACATAGCACCTTGGTTTCTGCGTGAGGAACGGGAGCTCCTCTCTGCCCCCTCAGGCAACCTCTCAGTCCTGCCTCTGAGGCCTGCACAGCCCAGAGTCCCCTCCTGGGGCTCCCTGGGAAGATGGATGAAAACCGCTGGTGGAGGTGAGACGTTTCACCCAAGAAGTGTCTCTCGGGGTCTAACTGGATGAGGGAGAAGTTAATGGAACCTGTCCTTTCCCTCCTAGACTCTGGCCAGTAGGAGGCACAGGGTGGGCTTGGGGGAGGGGGCCCTGGGAGGGCTTGGGGTGCACGGCCTCTACCTCCCTCCTGCTGGGCCAAGAACTCCGGCCAGAGCACACACCTAACAAAATTTATCTTCCGCAGGCAAGATGACAGAGATGGTCCGAGCCTTTCCGAACCCTTAAGGAGGTTTTTAAGGAGACGAGCCAGCCAAGGCAAGCACAGAGATCTTGGCCGAAGGTTACCCAGGAAGCTTGTGGGTGGGCAGAGTGGAGTGAAGTCCATCTCTGGTGCCTGGAGCCAGCAGGCAGAGAAAGGGGCTGGAAATTTAGACCTCTCTTCAGAGGCAAGACAGATACAAAGGCCACCCTGGGGCTGTCTGTCTCGGACACACCATGTAACCTTGAGAAACCGCATTCCTTTGTTCTTTCTGAGCACCAAGGGCTGATGCAGCCAGCCTGTCCCCGCCCCCCGCCCCCTCCCTGAGGCTGGGGTGCACAGGCACCAATGAGCTTCCCTGGCCATTTCCTTCCAAGCTGTCCCCCAGGCACTCGGAATGCTGGTGGCTGAAAGACCAAGAGCAGCACCAAAGGAAGGGATCTTATTTAGGCACCAGCCTTTTGCTCTAGCAAAATCCGTGGGGATAGTGGGTAGGCCCTCGATAACCATCCACACTCCATTTGGGCTTCAAAAGCAGGAGCCAGATCCCTGCACCAAGAAGGGAGGGCAGTCTTCTCTGAGGAGGGGATGGTGGGAGCGCTCCGTCCCTGCCCGGCAGGCCGCAGCCATCCCCGGTCAGAAACCATGGAGACACAAACACAGCAAAATAGCATCATGATCAGCAGGTTCTGTGCTAAAAAATTATAACTACACAGCATTTTCTCCAGTTCTGACACCTTTTTTAATAGAAATCACTGTTTTTAGGAAACAAATAGCACTTTTGTAATTTTTTTTTTACAATGTTTCTTACCTTGATCTTAATTTAAGTAACACTAGGAAGACCTCAATATCTTTTATTTTTCTTTTTTTTTTTAATTTAAAAAAAAGTTGTTTTCCCCAGATACAAAGATTTTGCCCTTGCATAAAAAAAACAGTGCCCGACGATGACACAAGGACTCACACAGACTCACTGGACCTCACTGACACTATGGCTCCTATTCTACCATGCAAGGTCTCGACTACCCTTAGCTGACTGTCAGCCTGAAAAACAGCTTTTCTATTCCTTAGTTTAGTCTTTGTTACCAAAAAAAGTAAAATAAACAATAAAATAAAACTTTTTTTTTTAATAAAGAAAATAAAGAACAAAAACAAAAATTAAAAAAAGAAAAAGAGAGACGTCTCCATTCAACTCACACACACCTGGCCGTGTGCGGCTGCGCTCAGGATCTCCTTTTATAAATATAGAAAGGGATGGAGCTTGTTTTCAAGTAAAATCACTGATCCACCTTTTTTCCTTCCTTGACACGCACACACCCTTCTCCCCGCCCTGGGCGAGGGCTGGCTGAGCCTGGCTCTGCTTGTTCTGGGAGAGGGAAGGGACCCACCGTCCACGTTTGCCAGAGCAGGGAAGGAGCCTGGGGAGCGGTGGGGCGCCCACGGCGGCGGGGGAGCGAGCGCTCCGAGAAGAACCCGATGGCTGTCCTTGTGCCCAGCTCTCCCCACGCTGCGGCCCACCACACACAATTAAGAAATACTGCTTATTTGATATACTTTTCCCACCCCGGCTCCCTCCCGTCCCCTCCCCATCCCTCCTCTGGGCACTGGGGTTGGTTAAATCTCGATTTCCTTTTTTTGGTTTTATAGTAGTGAAAGTTTAGAAACAGGGAAAGCCCACACACTCTTTGGACTTGTCTTCTCTACCTAAACAAACGGCTCGGCAAATAAGGATCTGAAACCTGCTCTCCTCCCTCCGCCCGTCCCTGCTCCCCACCCAACAAAACAAAAACAAACCCATCGTGGCTGTGGAGGCTGCTGCAGGCACACACTGGTGTATAATAGAGAGAGTAAATATATTATTTCACTTGGCATGGTGCTGGCAAAGAACCTCCAGCTGGCACTATTTCATGTAACATGGTCCAATCTTTGCATGTACACACAGAATAAGAAGGATCAATTGGCAAACTCTGGTGCCACCTGGCACAAGCATCTTCTCTCTCTCTGGAACCAAAGAACCAAAAGAATTCTGTACTTTCCAGAAGAAATCCGGCTTTGCTTTCCTAGAGTCTTCAGTGTTCTGCTCTCCTGGCCGCCGGGATCCCGTGGCTTCTGGCAGGGCGCTGTTATTTAGTCTCTTCCCCCGGGTTACAGTTCACTGTGCAGCTCTGCGAGGAGGGGGAGGGGGCTGGCGTGGAGGTGGCGGCGTTGGCAGGGGGGGTGCAGTCCGGGCCGTTGGAGACGGCCCCCACAGTGGCCTCAGAGTCTACGGGTTTGGAGAGGTCAATGCCGTGGATGAGGCGGATCAGCTGCTTCACCTTCTCCAGGGAGCTGTGCATCTCCTTCTGCCGGGCCAGGATGGTGTTCTTCATTTCCATGCATTTCTGCAGCAAACGAGAAGGGCGGTGGCACTGAGCCTGCGGCCTTGCTGCCAGGCCGGCCAGCCTCTGCGGCAGAAGGGTCCTCGCTGGCTGGGGTGCAGCCCCGGGCCTGTTCTGCTCCACAGGAGTGGGAGCCACCACCCAAGGAAGGAGGAGGCCCCAGAGGCAAGAGACAAAGGGCAAACGAGTGGTTTAAAGCCAACTCTACTTGACACCGGGACTTCACACCAAAGGTGAATTACCGCTCCAATGCTATGAAATAAGTCATTTTAAAAGCACAATTCAGCCTGGCCAGTGTGGTTCAGTTTGTCAGAGCATCATCCCATGCCCTGGGGGGTGGCAGGATTGGTTCCCGCTCAGGGCACATACCCAGGTGGCGGGTTCGGGGAGCATATAGGAGGTTGATATTTCTGTCTCACATCAATGCTTCTCACTCCCTCTCCCTTCTCTACAATCAGTAAAAACATACCCCCAGGTAAGAATTAAAAACGAAGTTCCCGCAGGTGCTGAGGCTGGTTTGGGCAGGTGTGTTTCCATGCCTGCCAGTGCTAACGTGGTCAGGACCAGACTGAGCTTTTCAGGGTAGAAAACAAGCCAGGGGTGTCTGTGCGACCGGAGGGCCTCCCGAGGACCACTCGGTCAGCAAGAACTTAAGACGCAGAGCCTGGGGCGGGACAGCGATGCAGGAGAATCAGACTTCAGCCAACAGAACCCCTCCTGCTGTCACCTGCAATCCTTTGCCCTCAGCCTCTCACACCTGGTAGCTCCTGCTCTAGGCGGGAGAGATGTGAGATCTGCATGCCACGGGTAGGATGGTGGGGAGGGAGGAAAGCAGGTGAGTGGGTCAGCTCAACCATCACCAAGTCCAGGACACCACCCAGTGTCTGAGGCTGAGGCTGCCTCACTGTGACAGCACCTACTCAGTGGGGAACCTGCCCATTGGGAGGAGCCTCTGAATCTCTGTTACAAGTACAACTCTCTTTCCCACCTGGACACGGCAGGCTGGGCAGTATTTACTTCCAAACTTGTCTCTAGAAACCCCTCTTCCTCAGGCTGGTCAGGAAAACCTAGAAACGCAAACAGCATGGTGGGGAAGAAAGAGTGGAAGGGCCGGGCCGTGTGGATGGACTCACTAGCTCGGGCGACCGGAAAGACTTCTATGTGGGGCTGGTCAGGCTCCACACTCCTCCCAAACACGCTCAGGATGCCCGGGGGTGATGGCTACATGGCTGCAGCCTCTAATCCACCTCGGCGCCAGGAGCCTGGAAATGCTTGCTCTCAGACCAAAACCAAGAGGATGTTCCAGAGCTTGGCTAAGGCACCGTATACCAACGGCCCCCTGTGCCTGAGGGCAACTCTAACAGGAGGCAAACTTTCCATCTGCCAAGTCGCTGTGCTATAAGCTAAAGGATGGGAACCGACCCTTGGGGGCCACACGAGCTGTTATGTGCACGGGAAGCTCTGTGTCTGCTGTATCGCCGAAGGCAGGAGGCTCACTTACACTTATAGAACTGCTGAGCTGTTTCACCTTCTGCTCTAGCTGTTCTCGTTCCTGCTTTAAATCTGAACTCCATTTAAGTAACTTCTGTTTCTCTTCTTCTTTAGCTGGAAAAAAAGAACTGTTTTTAACAATACATTCTTTGAAAAGGCCAGTGTTCAGAATGTTTGCCAAGGAAGATCTTCTCCCCAAAGTTCCCGGAGCCCCAGTCGGTGCACAGGACTCCCCTTCCCCCTTTCCGTGCACAGGCATGCTGAGAGGAGCGCCAGGGGCTTCAGCCTGGCTTCATAGGAACGAGATCTACTTCCCATTCTTCCTCCCAAGAAAGTGCTACACAATCTTCCACTTCATTCACTAGCAGCTTTTCATTTTTAACGTTAAATTTCCTTTTTAAAACAAAGCAAATCCTTCCTTCAGTACTTTTTTTTTAAACAAGGGAAGATTACACAAGAGAGTGCATGGTAACTCTTTACCTGCTTTGTAGGCGATATAGGAATGAACAATTGCTAAAGTTCCAGGCCATGGAATTGCTTCTTCTTTCTTTAGCATCTGAAAAGATTTTTAGAATTTTACCTTGAGAAGGAGGTATAAATACACGTCCCCTGTGTAAGGACTAGCAAGGGTGCCTGTAGCTACGGGCAGATAAAAATCCAGGAGGAATTATGAGGGCAGTGTTGCGAAATGCTGCTCTACATTTTCTGGACTGTAAAGTTCCAGATATCAGCCCGAGAGAATGAGATACAAAGCAAGGACACCAAGCCACTGAGCCCTGAATGAGAGAGAGGCTGGACCCTCCTATCATTTCATCTGTGTCACAGGCTCCTGATGACTCCCACAGGCAGAACCACCAGCGTAAGCGGCAGGCTGGCACTGACTGCAGCCACGGGCGGCCTGTCTTAGTTTTAGCTCCATGCCCCTGAGAGGCAGCCTGGCCAAGGAAATGAAGTCTCAGCTCTGATACCACATGCAATCTAGACCCCATGTGGTAAATGATCAGAGGGTTACAAAGCAACAACTGGAAGAGAACAAGGAGAGAACTGTCCCTATAACTATTATACATCAGGCGACAGTAGCAAGAAGACCAAGATTAAAAGGGGAAAACCAGAATTCTCTCAGATCAGAATCCAAAGACCTGAGCAGGATCCCATTGTCTGCTGAGTACTGACCTTATTTGTTTGTTATTTATACTTTGCCTGCTTCTAAAAAAGCGACACGAGACCGCTTACAATAAAAACATTAAGATACATGGATAGGCGAGAAAAAAAATCAGAAACTAAGCAGAGAAGGAGGGAAAAGCTAACCATACAGTCATGTGCTGTACAATGCTTTGATCAGTGATCGACCACATATATTATGTGGGCCCATAAGATTATAATGGAGCCAAAAAATTCCTATGGCCTAGTAACATCATAGAATACATGTGTTCGTGGTGCTGCTGGTGTGGCAAACCGATTGCACTGCCAGTCACACAAAGTATCACATACAGTATGCACAATACATAGTACTTGATAATAACAGACAACTATACTACTGATATGTATTTGCTATGCTATATATTTTTACTTTAAAGTATACAGTGCTATTTATTAAAAACAAGAAGTTTGTTGTACAGCGATATTCTGTGCTATGCTGGCTACAGCCTCATATGTCTCATGTTAACTGTGTCTCTTGATTGCATCATTTTCTCCTGTGCTTGACTTAATCTCACGTTGTTTGTACAGTAATGAGACACAGAGTCTTGTAGCCCAGGAGCAATAGGCTAGACGTAGGTGTGCAGCAGGTTACCATCGAGGTGTGTGTAAGTGTGCTCTGTGATGCTCTTGCAAGGACAAAATCACCCAATGACACATTTTTCAGGCTGTATCCTATTGTTAAGTAGTGCATGATTTTGTGCTTGCCTTTCAAGCCCATGAAATATTGATACCACTGTAGTTAGTTCTCTGATCCTGATGACAACACAGGTTAAAAGTGAAACTGCTATTATTTGAATGAAACAACTGACTGAATACTTTCATTTAAGAAAGTACTGGCTAGTGTCTCAGTGGTCAGAGTGCTGGCCTAGGCACTGATAGGTTGTAGGTTTGATTCCCTGTACCTGGGTTGCGGTTTGCTTCTTACCCCTGGTTGGGGCATGTGTAGGAGGCAACCAGTCAATGTGTCTCTCTCACATCAATGTTTCTCTCTCTCCCCCTCTCCTACCCTTCCACTATCTCTGAAAAGCAATGGAAAAAATATCCTCAGGTGAGGATTAACAAAAACAAGCAAACAAAAAAGAATTTTATTTTCAATATAGAGTTTCAAAAACATATACTAGGTTTGTATCCATCTTAGAGAATGAGGCAGAAAGTCTTATGGACTTTTAGGGTCAAGGTAATAAGCCATTTCAAATAAAGGGAATCAATCAGGGTCTCTCCACCAACACACTGAGTCACCGCCTCATGAATACGACAGAACGTCTCTGAGGGGAGGGATGCTGGTGGGAGAGAGCCGTTCTGTGAACAGGGCTCACGTGGCTTGAGACTGCCATTCCCCCAGATCAGAGGGGAAAGAAAGACCCGACCACGTTGTTTTGCTCCTCCTTGGCCCCGCCCTATGTCTGCCCCATGCCCCCTACCTGGTCCTGACATCTGGGACAGATCCACATGCCCTTGGGAATTGTTTTCAGAGGAGGGTCTAAGCAGTCCAGATGATACACACGGGAACACGTGTCACACATCAGCAACTGACCACTTTTTCTGCAAACGCTGCAAAAATCCTCATGGATATCACCCTAAGAAATTGAGAAGAGAGGTAAGAGAAAGGACAAAAGGTAAAATGTGAATGTTAACATGCACATTCTGGATACATATACATGTGTTAGGACAATCAGCTGTGCTCCACTGAACATGTTACAAGAGTATGCAAGAAAAGTAGCAATGGCACAAGCCCCCACCTGCCCCATACAGCTGAGGTTCCCTGGGCAGGGGCAGTATTCTCAGTTTTAAAGCAGACTTCACAGGAAAGTTCTGTAGTCGTCTAGGCCAACATTAACTTTAGGGGTGATAGCTCAGCATTTGTTATATTTTGGTAGAGTCTAATCCACAAATCAGAAAGCCTGATGACATTGAAACCCATCCATCAAAGTGTTCTGAAACCAAAGATACAAACAATTCTCATTAACTATCATTTTTGGGGAAACTTCAGAAGGGTTGGGAAAGACAACAGGTAAGAATGGAATTTTACTAAACACTTTGCCTCCTCAGGGAGAACAGATAATAGTGAAAGTTCAAATGGGAAAAGACTAAGTCAGGAACCAATTAAACTGGTTAAACTGAGCTTTCTAATATAAAGACTTTAAAAGCCAAAGCAACAGCTGACAATGTTCTCCAGCATTTGGCATTTGCTGTTCAATGGACCCTTCTATTCTGGAGGCTGTATTCCTCCCTGTAAAACACTTCGTCAGGTGAGGTGAGAAGGGCCCTCTGTGCCCTCTCCCGCCATCAGTGAGTTCTGTGAACAGAAGGCACCATAAAAAAAAAAAAAAAAGCAGACTTCCTTAAAACGTGGAGAGGAGAACAGGGCGGGGACACACACACACACACACACACACACACACACACATTCAAGAGGTATTTTTCAGCAAGTGAATCCCTGACCCACTCTCTGAATAGGACTATGCCTCTGAGCGGACCCAGGAAGGCTGAGGGACGTCAGAGGGAGCCAGCAAAGGCAGTGCCCGGCCTGGGCCGGACCTTTCCTGCCAACGTGTTGTTTTAGGTTTCTAGACTGTTTTGCCAAAAGGCTGAACTCAGAACTTGTGCACAGGAAGCAGTGACACAGGAGCAGGCCTTCCTCCCATGATAAACCCCCACCACCTGGGAAGAGCCTTTCTTCCCAGGCCTGCGTTTCCCTAGGAAGGGAGCTTTCTCTGCCATTCACCAGGCTCCCCAGCAGCTAGAAGATGCTGGAAAGTTATATGATAATTAGTGTGGGTGGGTTTTAACCTTTCTGAGTAAGAAAATGTCACCTCTGAGCCATAGAAAAGAAATCCAGAAATGTGCAAAAATACTACATGAGAATGCCCGACAGTTCAGCTTCCAGGCACTGGAAGAGGCAAGTCTCACCCCTTGGTTACTGTGACTTTCTTTTAATTCTTAGAATCGGGCTGAGAGTGCTCTTCTCTAGAGAGTTAGTTTTTCTTAAAACTCAGCCCCATGTTATAAGTCTGCATTTTTATGAAGTTTATACAAATTTTAGAACTTCAGAGAGTCTTTACATGAACCACAGATAGAATTAGCAGCGATGAAGTATATGAGACAAACTGCACATTTTATTCAGAGGTATTTGTTGGGTAAAGAATTCTGCTCACTTTCCTCTTCTCCTGAATAAGGAGAACATCAAGAAGTGGAAGGTGGAGAGTACATATAAAATAAAACTTAAATAATTTATTTCAGTTACTAAAAGAGAAAAAAATTGTATCCTCTTTATATAGCCCATAAAGTAGCTCCTCATCTTTTGGTGTCAGGACCCCATTACACTCTTTTTGTTGTTGTTGTTAACTTCTCACCCAAGGATATTTTTTCCATTAATTTTTAGAGAAAGTGGAAGGGAAGGGGGTGGGGGAGAAGGAAGAGAAAGAGAGAGAGAAACATTGATGTGATAGAGACACACTGATTGGTTGCCTCCTGTATGCGCCCCAACTGGGGGCCAGGGATCCAACCTGCAACTCAGGTACGTGCCTCTGACTGAGAATTGAACCCACAACCCTTGAGTGTATGTGCTGACACTTTAATCACTGAGACACATCGGTCAGGGCCCCATTACACTCTTAAAATTACTAAAGACCTCAAAGAGCTTTTGTTTATGGGAGTTAGATACACTGATATTTACTTATAAAGTTTTAAAACATTTTAGTTTTGAAATAATTATAGAATCCGGGAAGTTACAAAAATATGTATTGGAAAATTTTAAACCCCAGAACACACAGGCACTGCCCATTAGCCATCAGAGTGATGACATCATCATGTCATGTAATATCTGGGAAACTCCACTGTTCATGCTTGAGAGAATGAGAATGAAACTGGAAGAGTGTTTGAATATGATCATGAAAATAGTTTTGATTTTATGGACCCCCCGGAAAGAGACTCAGGGACCCCCAGGCCATACTGAGTACCACTACCCAGAGAAATGAATATGAAATGTGAGTCATGTGTTTCACCCACACAGAATTGGTTCTCTGCTTAAGCAGAAAGGCAGGTCCACGAAGGTGCTGCACCAGGTCAGAAAGCTTAGGCTCTGGCGAAGGCCGAATAATTACCATAAACGAAATGGGAAGGTAAAAGAAGTCTGACCCATAATTCTTTGCTAAGGGCTGAGGCCTAGGGTTTTTTTTGTTTTTTTTTTAAACCTGGTTTTATCAATGGCAACTTCAACATTTGTTAAAGAAATTGTATAATTATGTCAACTCATCTTCCCTTCTCATAAAAGTGATGACAGTGGCAACATCCTGAGGATCAGCACCCAGCCGTGCTTTGTACCAAGTCCTTCTAGATGGTATTGATCTTCAGGAAATGCCTGCCTCTCAGTTCTTACTATTTAATTAATGTTATTGGGGTTTATGCCACCCAGAAGCTAATATCCAGAGCCCTGTGTGTTGATTTTAATAACTGCCACTGTTGAGATACTGTAAAAGTAGAAGTCAATTATCTTTTTAGAAAAACTCATTCTACTAAGTCTAACCTAGGAAGTTATCAACATTATTTAGTGGTTTTATAAAAGCTTCCTTTTACCTTTAGATTTCTAAGAAGAACAGTGTTTATATTTTGACATAAAACCTGGCAGAAGCTTTTAGTTTGTGATTAGAGCTGAGTGGATCCTTTCAAGAAAATCATTTCATAAACCCCCTCAGCCCAAAGCCAAAAAATAAAAACAACACTGTTTAAGAAAGAGACTCATCCAGAACCACAGAATGCCTGGGGGACAGCCCCACCAAGAGCTGTCCATCCCTGGGCAATGCTTTAACTTCAAAAAAGTTGAGACAATTATTGCTGTCACCCAACAAGGTTACCACAGCGACTCCTGGTGTAGTTAACAGGAGAGGCAGAAAACCCAATCAATGACTCCTGCCAAAGGAAAGCTGGACAAAAGACTGAGTCTTGACAGCAAGGCTGGGTCTGAGGCCACCAGCTATGCTCACGGAAGGACGCCCATCAGAGCACAGAACTCCTCCATGACCTGGTCCTCCACAGATGACACCCCTCTGTTGTTTATGGAAGTTTAACTCAGGATGTGCAGACGGTTTTCTTTTGCTCTTTGGAGAGGGGCAGGCTTTAGACTACTAAGAGCCTGTAATTAAAGGGATAATGTACCTGAAGGTGAGCCTAAAGCCAAGCTCTGTCATTCACAAGAGAGAGGAGACATGCCAAACCAGCTTCTCCTCCAGTCTCCTAGCTGTTTGGGCCAAAATCTTTGGATTCACCTTTGACTGTTCTTTTTCTCCTTACCCCATCATCCAATTCTGCTGGCTTTTCATTCAAAAAGATGCAGACTCAATGACTCTCCTCCATCTCTATTTCTACCTATTATATTTGGCCAAGCTACCATTGGCTCCTGCAACAGCCTCCTCACTGGTCTCCCTGCTCCTGTCCTATCTTCCCACAGTCTTGTCTCCATATTTCACACACATCGGCCCTTTTAAAATCCCAATCAATTTTGCAAACACCTTTGAATAATAACTGCAGGCAAGAACCAGCAAAGGATGCTAAAACCACTGGGTAGCAGTTTGTTGGGAACTGGATATTTACAGACCCAAAGCTGAGGAAACAGGTGTCTGTACAAGTGGAGACATTTGATGGGCTCTATTTTAAGAGAGGAGCGTTAACATCCCCAACAAGGGGACAGACTGACAACACGTGCCTCCTGCTGTGAAGCACTGAGGACTCATTGCCACTTATTTAGTGTTCCTACAAAAATGCAACCTCCAATCTGTTCCTGAGGAAACAATCAGATCATCCAAATGGAGGACACCCTACATAGCAACTGGCCTATCTTCCTAAAAATATCAATGCCATGAAAGACAAAGAAAAGACGAGAAACTGGTCCAGAGTACGGAGCCTAAAGAGACAATAAATGTCAAGAGTGATCTTGAATTGGATCCTGAAGCAGAAAAACGTAAGTGCCACTAAGGCAATAATTGAGACAAATTGAGAAAGCTGAATATAAACTGTATATTGTATAATAACATTTTATCAATATTAAATTTCCTCTCTTTGATAACTGTAGTGTGGCTATATCAGAGAATATCTTTATTCTTAGGAGATATAAACCAAAGTATTTGGGGGTGAAGATTAATGATGCTTGCAATTTCCTTACTAGAGAAGAAGAAAGAAGAAAGAAGGAAGAAGGAAGAAGAAGGAAGAAGGAAGAAGGAAGAAGGAAGAAGGAAGAAGGAAGAAGGAAGAAGGAAGAAGGAAGAAGGAAGAAGAAGAAGGAGAAGGAGAAGAAGAAGGAGAAGAAGAAGAAGAAGAAGAAGAAGTATGGTCCTGACAGAGTGACTCAGTTGGTCAGAATGCCCTCACATACCCCGAAAGGTTGTGGGTTTGATTCCGGGTCAGAGCACATACCTAGGTCAGGGGATCGATCCCTTCTCAGGACGCGTACGGGGGCAACTGATCAAAGTTTCTCACCTCTCCCCCTCTCTAAACAAGCATATCCTTGGTTAAGGATTTAAAAAAAGTTTGTGTGCATGAATGTGTGTGTGTGTGTGTGTGTGTGTGTGTGTATATATATATGTATGTGTGTACATGTGTGTATGTATAAGTGTATGTATATGTGTGTGTAGGAGAGAGAAGCATATGTGGCAAAATGGTAACAAAATGGTAACAACTGGTCAATCTACAATAGGTGAAGGGTATACATTTGTTCCTTGTATTGTCACTGTAACTTTCCTGTAGGTTTGAAAATTTCAAAATAAAAAGTCAAAAAACCTCTAGCAGCCTCCTATTTCACTTAGAGGAAAGCCGCAGGCTCTGCCGCCTCTGGCCCTCAGCTCCACCACTCACACTGCTCACTGCCCAGCATCTTGGCCCCTTTTCTTGGTGCGTTTACATTTCTACCCCAGGGCTTTCGGAGTGCTCTTCCCCCACCCCCTCAGCATCTTCATAAAAGAGCAACTTCCTGCTATACCCCTTGCCTGTCCCACTTTCCCACAGCATTATCACTCCCTGGCACATATGTTCCTCTGTGCATCACCTGCCTCCCACCTGCAACATGAGCTCCATGAGGACCAGGAGCTGGTTTTGCTCCTGTTCAGTCCCAGCCTCAGAGCAGTGCTTGCTCAGCAGAGAAGTGCTCAGTATTTGCTGAGTGAATTCATTGCTGTGGAAATGCTCATTTAAAAACGCAGGGTACTGGTGACACTCCTACAGTTGCTGGGTGAAGAACTACTGAGTATTTGACACTCTTTCTGGAACCTATTTCTAGCCAACTCTGCTGAATACAGCTTGCTCTATGGCAAAGTTTCCACTTCTTGAATTCCACCCGAAGTGGGCCACACTGCTAAGGGAACGTCCACCTCGCTCGCCTCCCCACCTCCAGAACGCTGACGACGGAAGCCTGCACACCGCGCAGGGACGTGAGCTGCCTTCCCACCCCCCCCTTCCTGAGGACTCCCTCACGGCACAGCAAATGCAGCCTCTGGAAACCGCTAAGCCTCCTGACATAGTCAGCACGAGTCCCAAGGGCACAGCAGGACCTGGGCCCCAGCAGAGCTGCCTTCCGGCACAGTGTCCTGTCGGGGGCCCTGCTTTCCCGGGTTAGTCAGGGTGATGCCGCTGGAGGAGACAACACAGGACAAGGTTTCCCCAGGGAGGCTCTCAGAGACAGTGAGCTTCTCCCACGTTACTTACGTCTGTGGAGGTGGGGCTGGGCAGGGACACAGGCTGAACAGGTGCAGGGAAAGTGAATGTGGTCTCTGTCTTTTCATTTTCAGGGGAGTCAGGATGACTGGATGGGGGGGATGTTGGGGTAAGGGCTCCAAACCCCAGCACTGCACTGTATTTTGGAGGACGACCTATATGCCAAGAGAAGGGAACAAAAGGGGAAAAAGGGGGGGGGGGAGAAGAGAGGGGGAAAATGATCTTACATACCTTTGGCCAGTGTTCCTCATTGGCTAGCATGGAAAAGGAAGTGAGGTAGCAGACAGAAGGTTAATTACAACAGTCCCAAAGAGAGGAAGAGAAGCTAAGATTTAAATGTCATTAGAAACTGCCTGAGTCTCAAAAGAAGGGAGGAGAAGAGAGAGCGTGCAGAACGACAGAGACGTTGGGTCGTGTAAAGGGCCTTGCCAGGGGCAGGTAGCAGTGAGGCTCCTGGGCTGTGACCACCTGACTTCTCAGGCGAGAACCAGAGCTTACAGGCAGCCAAGGCCAGAAATACCCATTTACTTTACTCTCCCGTATCTTCTGCACGTTGTTCTCTAATGTTTCTCTGCAACCATCATTCTTACTATATTAATGGTTCTCAGCTCCTACAATGGACTTATTCAGGATTTCTGCTTTTCTGTTCTCGCCTGCCTATATTTTGGTTATTTCACTGCTTATAAGGGTGGAGCAAAGTGAAGCTAGGAGACTAAGTTCAAGTTAACTACTCTTACCCTTTACTGCTAGAGCTAGTGAGAGAGATGTTCAAGGGGTAGCTGGAACCCAAGAGCTAAAAACATGTCCTGAGTTTAAATATGAATGGAAGTAGGTCAGAACTCAGGTGTTCTCCCTAGTTGAGTGAGATCTGTCTCCCCACTTTCTACCACATTCATGTGTCTCAGGACTGGGCTGATACAGTCTCAGGAAGGCCGCCATCAGCAACACTGCTAACTGAGAGGCCTGACATGAGCAAGAGCATTCTGCATCACACCTCATGCTACAGCGGATCATAAATGAGCCGTGCGGGTGTGGCAAGTCCAGGCCAACCACTCCTGCTTGACATGTCTAAGTCAGAGCCACACTCCTAAGCTGTGGGTGAACAAAGTGGATGCCTAGACCACCATAGGGGATAAAACAGCCAGAGGGGTACACAGCTGTGTACGATCACTGGTAATGGCACGCAGAATCGTGACTTTGCCAACAGTTACAATTTATATCAAAACCATGCACAGGAATGCTAACTCTGTCAGACATACACAAACATGACTATGTGTGTCAGACTGGGGGAGTCTGCAGTCCAAAGACAGGTCATATGGTGTGTCTTCCTGGGGGGGGTCAGTGCTGCGGGGAGAAGTGGGAGATGAATGCTCTTTGTTTACCCACGGAAGCATATCTTAGGCTTGTCGACGCAGGCTTTCATCCTCTGACCTTGGCAAGAGATGCCAAGGTCTTTCTGGCTCATTTAACCCCTTTTCTTTTAGCAGATACAGCCCACCAGCAGGCCAATTAACTGTGGCTTCTGGCTGAGGGCTCATTTCTGGGAATTGTGTAAAAGGTCACTAAAAATTGCTAAAAACAAAAAATAATCCACGAGACTGATAACTGTGGCCCAGGAACTGATATGAAGCAATGGCTTTGGGTTTCTCATCTAAATATTTTTGACCACTTGAAGGACGGGACTGATGCAGCATGAGAACGGGTCACTCAGGGTGGCTACGCTAGCTCTTTGCGGGCAGAGGTGGTAGTGGTGTGGCTGCGGCCTCCCTGAGGCAGACAAAGGGTCAGGACGACCTCCTAAGCTTCCCGCAGCTCTGAGATTGTGTGTGCCGACGCAGAAATTAGTATGCTGCTCCACTCACTCCGCAACCTTTCTAGCCTGGAACTATAATTCAGGGACACATTATCATGTAGAGAAAGGGACCTTGGGATATATTACTGACATCAAAGAACAATTTCAGAACCTTGTTTATGAGCTCCTACTCCGAGCTATTAAGCCCTATTTAGACTCGCACGGTGAGGCTGCTGCGGCTGTCGTGCCTCGGCCCTAAGAGGCGGTGCAGTGCCTGCCCTGGGGAGGTCTAAAACACGGGGAGGAAGCTCTTTAAGAATTTCTGCTTTCGAAAGCCTGCTTGACAGTGACCTTTTCTTCTCACAGAGCCTACATTTCCAGTGTGGCTACTTCTCCCTTTCCTGGAAAGCCCGCAGCACACGAAAACTTAAGTGAGGCTCCGGTTTCTCCTGCAGAGGGATGACTCAGACACGACTCAGAGCACCTTGGCAACAGCGGGCTCTGTGCTGCTCAGTGACGCTAAACTGCTTCCTTTTGCGTGGTGTTTTGTTCACTGTGCTATGCTCAGGGACAGCTGGTGGGCCGGGGGGCAGAAATGCTGCCTGAAGCCATTCCCCAGAGGCAGCTTTGCTGGAATCCCAGGAAAGGCAGCTTTCGACTCAGCATACACAACTCTAATAGGAAATCTCACTCTCTTTCTCTCCCTTCTCAGAGAACAACAACAACAAAACTATTTTCTAGGGGGAAGGGGAGAAACACAACACAGAAAGCAAAGGCAAGAGGCAAGGGAGAGATATAAACAGGTGCTCACCTCTCTTCCGGGTCCCAGGGTGCATTGTACTGTTCAGGTAGGTGACTGCACTCTTCTTACGCTTTGAGGATTGAGGAGGGAAATGGGATGGTTGAATAGCATGGTTACTAATAATGCTGGCAAAAAGCTAAAGACCAAGCACAGCATGCCTGTCAACATGCCAACTAGTTAGTGCCAGTCACCCCCAGGTATCAGTGCTAACGTGTTTTGTTACATATATTCCAGGGAGGCCTGCCTCTGACAGTTGACAGTTGCGTTGAAGCCAGGGTGAGTTACATTTTTAAGGACGGTTTCTATCTGTTCAAATGTAGGCAAAAAACTAAGGGGAAAGCAATGAATAATAAAAATGAAATGATGGGATCAGCCTGAGAAAAATCATCGCTTTACAAAGCTGCACAAGTACAACCCGTTTTCCACCGGGAGGTGCTGACTATGTTGTAAGCGAAGTGAACGGTGAGGGAAGTGAACGGTGAGGGAAGGGCCCGCTCGGGCCAGGAGTACCTCAGGCTCAAAGACCGCTCCGCTGTACACGGGGTTTGCCGTTGTTCTTCGTTTTCGCTCTTGCCTCTTACTTTGGATTTCTTGGGAAAGCAAAAGGTTTACATTAGAAGACAGGTATGGGGAACCTCAACAACTTGACTTCATTGCTTTTCCCAGACAAATCAGAGCTGGGGCCAGCCTCTTTGTTTCACTGCAGCCTCAGCAGAGGCAAGCACATGGCTGGGAGCACGCATGCAGGACGCCTACTCTCACCCCTCGGAGAGCAAGACCTCGCCGTCCCCGGGGAGGCTCTGTGACCGCGTGCTTGGTGGCAGACAACGCTTGTGAACAGGCTGTCCTGGTTTATTTTTAGATCACTGTGACCTAGGTGTGGATGAACTTTATCCACAGACTGAGATTGAGCAACCGTAGTTCACCATTCTTTAATTAAGTAACCAACACAGATGTAGCTTTGCAACTGTTCTTAAGATTCTAGTAGCCAAGAGTACTGTAGAGTACAAAGTCAGAGGGGCATTTGCTACTTCATGCTGGTGGGGAGAAAGTTCCCTAAGTGAGCGGAAGTCACCAGTCACCTTAACAGAGGCAACGGGGTGGTCTGCCCAGGACAGTAGTGTGGATACAAAGCGAAAGGAAGGGGAGGGCTAAACAGCAGCCAATTTGACTCTAAAGGAAACAAAGTCCACACGGACTACATGATACTCTATCTGTTTTCAGTTTTCTTTTCTCCCAATAAAACGCCAATGTCAAGAACTAAGCTCTGGGCCAGAAGCAAGGCAACCTTATGAACATCTTCTCTTACCTTCTAGATGGTCGTGTGTTACCAATCCTAGAGACACCATGAAGGCAAGTTTCTGTGCCAGAGAAACAAAAGATGAACATGCTTCAGTCTGGGTTCTCACAAAGCCAACAACATGTTCCCAACTAGAATTCTAGAGGAAGGCAGCCCGGTGGGCTGGCGGCCTGAAGGAGGCAGGTTCAGGTGAAAAAGAGCAGGGCGTCCTCCACTCCTAAAAGCTATGAAGTCACTCCACCGCTTCCCTGGCTTACAGGGTCCAAAAGAGAAGGACAAGGGCCTACAGCTTCTGCGTCCTCAGTGGCAGAAATCAGCATTTTGAGTGGCCCAATGTATTTCTTTCATAAAAAAAAAATCATTTTAGAGTTCTGGCCATTGAGGCTCAGTTGGTTACATGTCATCCTGTGCACTGAGAGGTTGCTGGTTCAATTCCCAGCCAAGGCACATGGTAGGGGCATGCAGTGTTTTATTTTCATAGCCCTGTTTCTCTCTATCCCTCTCCCTTCCTCTATCTCAAATAAATAAATAATTTTTTTAAAATCCTCGTAGAGAGAAGAGGATTTCATATTCAAAAAGCAGGCAGAGCCTCCCATACAATAAGCTAAAAATTATAATTAGTTTACTTGTCATGACTAGGCCTAGTTACTTGTCATGTCAAGTCGGGGTTTCTTACATTTTTTGCTACCACTGACTGGACAACGCTAACTCAAAGCTAAATGAATTTTAGGAATGATAGCAGGTGTTCTATTTAATACTATGATTTTTCATTCAAACATGGGCCTAAAAATATGGAGTGATTTTTCTCTGACTAGATTGATTAGGATACTGCACCTCATAGCTGACACATCAGATGCTTAAAGTTGGAGAAAGTAACAAATTGGTGCCTACTTTTCTCTTTGGTTGCATGTGGTCTGGAAAGTATGTCTCCATTTTCTGCTGTACCACTGCATGTGGGCGGTATACATGCCAAAGAATGCATCATCAATTTTTTTTTGCCGATGAATAAAGAATATAATCAATTGCTAGGAGACATCCTACTATAGAATCATTTATACCACAGTTGGGTCTTAAAAAACCCCTGACATTTCATCCTCAACATTAAATACCATGATATTTTGGCCAGATGTGACAGGTTCAGGCTACCCAAGATAGGGTTTTATGAAAATACAGTCATTGAGGCAGACACTGGAGAACAGAAATGCCCTTTACTATTATCTCAGAATCTTAAAGAAATGTTTTTATTTCTTATTCCAAAGTTAGGTGGGCACCTCTCTCTCCATCATCCAGAGTTCTTTGGCAGGAAAAAGCAGTCTTGGACTTACTGCCCATTTTCCACATTGTATATTGAAAGGGCATACATTTTATGGCTGCCAAAAATAACTACATCCTAATTCCCACTATTCCTTCAAAACGCAATCAAGATTGGAAGGCTGTCTAGCAACGTTCTCTGTTAAAGCAGTGTGAGGACTGACATTCAGATGCACTTTCTCTTACTCTGCTGACTGCACCCTTCTTGGCCACTCACGTCCAAACTCATCTCTGCCAGCCTAGACTGAGAGTTCATGAGAGAATTATTAAATTAAAAAAATCCTCTCCTGTGAAACAGATTTTCAGTGATAAAACAAAAAGTTATCAAGAACTTTTGTCTCATCTATGTATCATCACACATGTGCCGAGAACCAGTTTACCTTCTTTATGGCAGTGATTCTGCCCAACCAGAAGGTAAAATGCCTGCTGCTACCTATGATGGCTGGTACCTGCTTGCCTACATCATGCCACTGACATAAGATATCCTTTAATTTCTCTTGATAAGGAAAGTCTGCTAACAGTTTACTCTTTTTTTTTCCCCTCTCTCCAAGTATTATACTTTTTTAAATTTTATGGATGATTTTACAAGTTTTTCAGCAATTTGGTTCAAGTTATTTTATGGATGATTTTACAAGTTTTTCAGCAATTTGGTTCAAGTTTTGGTCCCTCCTTTAATTTATTTCATATCAGAAAGAATTATCATTTATCAAAACCTCCCTGGCTTACCCTAGCTGGTTTGGCTCAGTGGACAGAGTGTTGGCCTGTGGACTGAAGGGTCCCCGGTTTGATTCCGGTCAAGGGTACATGACTGGATTGTGGGCTCGATCCTCAGTAGGGGTTGTGCAGGAGGCAGCCAACCAATGATTCTCTCTCATCATTAATATTTTTTTTCTCTCTTTTCCTCTCCCATCCTCTCTGGAATCAATAAAAATATATTTTAAAAAAGAAAAACCTTTCTGGCTTAATAATTCATAGTTTTGTTTTTCTCAATGACATGATGCTTTGATGGCTTCATGCCACTGTTTGGCAGGGTTTCATCACAGAGAATGCACTGAGCACAGAAGGAAATCACCAGTCTAATAAAATCCAACTATTAAATATTCATCATCAGATCACCTGTCCAAATTTTATTTTATAGCTGCTTATGCTAAGTCACCAAACTTAAAGATTCTCTTGTCTAAGGACATATAAATTCACATTCTATGTTTGTACCAGAGTCTTATTTGCTATTTAAGTTTAGAATTCTATCCTAAGTTGTGGTACAGATGTTACTCTTTTCATCCCTACTTCTATGCTTCAATGAACTACTTTCCAGCTACTGATTCATTTGGGATTTGGGAATCTAGTACAATACACTAGTAATAACAAAAAGCAAATGTGACAACTGTAATCGATAACGTAAACAGACCTTAGCTGAATGACCTGAACAGCCTATAAATGTTGGCTGAGACAAATAAACAGTGATCACTGGAAGTACAATGGGATAGCCTGGAAAACGATCCCCAATCTTACATTTCAAATCTGTGATGTGTACAAAATGCCCTATGCCAGCTCGTGGACACTCACGGCCATACTCTTCATCTGCCCTAGGCCAACCTAACTTGGAAGTAACATTACTGAATAGTGAGAGAGCAAAAGAAAAGGCAAGCAAAGTGTTCAGGAGCACATGTCCCTCCTGATGTGTGAGAGTGAGTCAATCTCTAGACTGAGCCACGCCTGTGGAGAGCTGGACCTACCTGAGGGTTCTCCTCCCGTTTTGGTTTGGGTGCAGCAGGTGGAGTGATGGTGCGGCTCTCTGTTTGTTTCTCATCTGCTTCTGTGTGAGATTTAATTGTCTAGGGGGAAAAAATTAAATGAAAATTCAGAATTCACTTTTTATTAACAGAATGAAAACAAACAGGTTGACTGTAGTCAACAAGGAAGAAAAACATTCTCAAACTGGAAATAGTAATAAAGGAGGTAATAGAGACTTCAGTTTGGAAGAAAAGAAATGTAAAATGTAAGGCCCCAGCTGAAATGGTTAAATTGCGAGACTAGAGTAAATATGGATCTATAATACAACACAACAGTTTAAATTATACAAAAAGAAAAATCCAGGCTTACTTCCTATGTATAAGAATAAAATATAGGCAGCTCTCTCTGATTTTAATGTATTTTAGCATGTAGGGGCAGTTTTTCAAAAGCAAGCCCTCTTGTTACATATGGGTCAAGCTCCAGTCCACAGCATGCCTAAGATCCGAATGATGTAAAAAAACAACAACAAAAAACCTCGTACATGTACACACTTCTATTTCAGAACATTTCTAATTACAACCCAAGAGAGGCTGCAGAGGTGCCCTCACCTGGGATGTTTAAAACCTGTCTGCATCGCCCATTAGGGAGATGCAATTGCCAAGGAAAGGTCATCTCGCCAGAAGCTGACATAGTGATTACCTGCAACCTTGTCTTCCAAATGCATCCATTCACACAAAGAAACACCAGCAGCATTATTATCTTCAGACACAAACGGCAGCTAGCAAATTCGTAGACTGGGCTTGCGTTACAATTCTTACCATGACCCAATGACTAGTTCACTTTCTGAAGCCCTCTATAAACCCTGAAATAATGCTAGCACAGTGGGTGAAAAACTAAACACACACCTAATTTATTTTTTCAAAATTAAAGAAACAGATGCCAATGGTCTTTTTATATGGCAACAATAAGTAATTAAATAAGTGAGAATGAAACTGATTATTGATGAGCGGGAGCCAAATGAAAGACTTCAGTCCTACGGGCAGGATATCAAAAGTTCTCAAGAACCATTATGCTGTAAAACATTTTACACAATCACAAAGGTCTTTCACACTCTTTCTTGGCTACTTTCATATCTTCCTTGATTCTCATATTACTTTGAGAAAGTGTAAGCATCTGTTTCGGGGTACAAATACTGCCTTGTCTCTTATTTCCTCCTCTGTTCTACGCACTTGAGAGCAGGGATTGGTCAACACACTTTTGCACCCTTGGTGCCTAGCACAGTGCGTCACGTAGAGCAGGTGCACTGTAAAGAGACGCTGATCTCCTGTGGGGAGCATGACCCCTAGGAGAATCACTGTCTCCTCTCTCTCACACCTCTCATATTTGAGCCAAAAAGGACACAATGACTCTGTAAAACAAACCCCCAAACACACCTACAAGGGAACACATGGGGAAGCGGTTTATAATGACATTTCAAAGGCTTGGGTGTCCACAGCTCTCTTAATGTGGAAGGACAGAAGTCTGAGGGAGGAGGGAGACAAGAAGGTCAAGTGGAAGGATTGCTGCTCCTATGAATTTCCTGAGGTCACTCACTCCCATCTCTAAGGCTGCAAAAACATGGAGTGGTAATGCCTTCAGGGAAGGACAAACCAATTCCTCTCCACCAAAAATTATCCAGGGTCCAAGCTCTCTCTCTCTCTCACACTGAAGAGTACAAGTATCTCAGAACTGGATTAAAAAACCCCCCAAAAACCCACAAAGAGCTTCCTTGCTGAGCTTGGTAACCAGCAGGACTGTTATGCCAGGTAGCCTACTAAACTAAAACAGCAATGAACTGGAGCCCTCTATTAGGTCAACAAGAAGATAAACCACAGAATTTACCACTAGGAAAGAATGTTTAAAAAAATAATTCATGGCACCTTTCTATGATATTACAACTAAAATTAAAAGCTCTATCAATGTGTAAGGCCAGAACACAAAAAAGATATTTAAGCTCTAATAAGAAAAAGAGCAAGTTAAAAAATTATAATGATTTTTTTTTTTTTTTTTTTTTGCTTTTAAAATATTAGTGTACTCTTAGAAAATATGTGGAGGAATGTAACCTATACTGTTAATAGCAACTTTGGGGAGGGGTAAATTATGGGCAAATTTCACTTTCATAAATTATGGAAAATGCACTTTCTACAACATACATTTCAGGAATGTCTAGATTTTTCTTTTACAATGAATATGTATTTCTTTGTAATCTGAAAAAAGAAATGTAAAATTGAAAAAATTCTTGTCTCCTAAAAATTTCTTTATGAAGAGGTCAAAGAGAAATCATATTTAGCAATCTAAAATAGTGTTTTGAAACCACATCCTTTATAATTCTAAGGGTCCTCTGAGGTATTCTGAGAGCCAACCCTGTACACAAGGCCAGATGACTGTCAAATATGCCTCTACCCAGACTCCTAAGCTTGAGCATTCTACATTCAAGATTTTAATCCTGAAGTTCTGCTGATGGTAAGTTTGTAAACTTCTGACCTAAAATATGTGCAAGTAATTTATTTCTGAATGCCCCTCAAAGCATTTCCTGGGGCTGGAGTAGGCTACCAAAGAATAGAGACATGTTCTCTATTTTGGTATCCAGCCTCTTAGGCCTGCTGCAGTGATGAGCTGCCTGGATAGGAAGCCGGGCACTCTATGCGTAAGGTTCCTGTTCAAGAAGGCAAGGCAGCAGGAGGCCTTCTCATCCTCGCCATCTGGCCAGCCTCTCTGAACCATCAGTCACCCAGAAGCGCAAGATTCAGGATCACCAGAGCCTATGTTCATGTGAATGAGAACCCAAGCCTGAGCAATCAGAAATAGGTCAATGACTTTAAAAGCAACTTCTGAAAGAGGATGCTTTTCTTTGCAAAATTCTTCTTTATCATCACTGGTTTTTCTTTAAATAGAATACAGGGTGACTGCCTATAATCTGTTTTTGTTTTGTTTTTTTTAAAGTCTTTCTGTCATAGAACCCTTAAGTATTTTTGAAGGTTACCTGTATTTCTCTAGCCCCATGGTTGGCAAACTGCGGCTCACGAGCCACATGCGGCTCTTTGGCCCCTTGAGTGTGGCTCTTCCACAAAATACCAAGGTCTGGGTGAGTTATTTTGAAGAAGTGGCGTTAGAAGTTTAAGCTTAAAACATTTGGCTCTCAAAAAAAAAAAAAGTCAATCATTGTACATTTGATATTTGGCTCTGTTGACTAATGAGCTTGCCGACCACTGCTCTGGCCTCATGTTTTTAAGAAAACATCTGTTTTTAGAAATATAAATGAAAGGCTTCAATATTTGAACTAAAAGTCTCTAGAGTTAAAAGAATATCTTTTAGAAATTTTACTTTTTTTTCATTTGATTCTTAATTATCTATAATAACCAGGGGAAAACTTTCAGGTTTATTCTTCCTGACGTTCATAGTCCATCTTTATCTGGATTCTTACTGGGCCAAAACTAATATGGATTTCCTGTTTACCATCTTATCTGTGCCTCCTGACTAAAGGTAGCAGAACCCATTTGTGAATTTCTGCTTCATAACCAGCAGGGGGAGCTCATTCACACAGGACTATGAATCCATCTATAAGGGGATAATGGAAAAAGCAACCCAACTTTCTTCAGTAATAATGGCCCTTTTGCATTTTATTTATTTATTTTTAATTTTTTTTATTGATTAAGGTATCACATATTTGTCCTCAACCCCCCATTCCAATCCCCCACCACCCTATTGTCCTTGACCACTGGTTAGGCTCATATGTATGCACACAAGTCCTTTGGTTGATCTCTCCCTTTTATCCCCACCCTCCCTTTGAGGTCCAACAGTCTGACCTATGGCTCCTTACCTTTTGCATTTTAAATAAATTATCACATGATAAGCAACAGGTCATTGATAAAGGTGCTGAGGTAAAGAGCCCTTGAGAAAATATAGAGATAGCCTAACCTCAATGGCAAGGCTAATGCCCAGAGCAGGTGCATACTCTTGCCTGTACCTGTTTTTCAAGGCTTGGCTTGCTAAGCTGTACAGTCTGAGGTCCAGCCAGTCTGGTCCCTGGAGTAGCTATCACAATGCTGGTGAGCTGGGCCATAGGGAACGTTTTGGCTATGGTTGCAGTCTGCCCATTGACGACACGGACGGGATGGATGGAATTTTGGGAGGTAGGGAGGGTTGTGGGGGTAAACTTGGTCAGCATAACAGGCCTCTGGATAAGTTGAGGAGCTGCAAGCATAGGGGGAGGTGCTGGAGCAATAGGAATGTTATTCTGGGCCACAGGCTTGGGTCGAACCTATGGGGAAAGAGAGAAAAATTACCATATTACTTACTAGAAGCAATTATCAGATTGTCTACACTGTGTACATGAAATGTTATTTAGTACAAATATTAATATTCACGTTGGTTTTATTATTTCTATAAGACTCAGGATATATAATCTTATAAAACATTCATCAGCTCGCCCTGACCGGTTTGGCTCAGTGGATAGAGCGTCGGCCTGCAGACTGGAAGGTCCCAGGTTCGATTCCGATCAAGGGCATGCACTTTGGCAGCTGATCAATGTTTCTCTCTCATCAATGTTTCTAACTCTCTGTAGAAAATCAATAAAATATATTTTTTAAAAAATAAAAATACAATACTCATCAGCTCTTTAGAGGGTCCAAATGCTACCCTAGAACACAGTTCTTCTGATTCTAAACTTAGCTCCTTCTTTTAAATATGCCATCTTTTTAGGTTGAGGTCAAATACCCAATCCAAAGACTGGTCTCACTCAGAATTTGTGCAGCAGAGTACGGTAATAATGCTGTCTATGGCCTTAATTCACATTCTAAATTTCTTCCTATCCACACTTCAGTTCACCCCCATCTCTGACCCTTTAACCCCTGTTCTTGGTCACCCCTTCTCTCAGTCTCCTTTGTGGGTATCCACTTCCTCTAACACTAAGTGTAAGTGTACTTGGGGATTCTGTCCTGGAACCTTTCTTCGCAGTGTCCTCACTCCTCCTGGGAGTTCTCATCCACCCTGGGGCTTTTCAGTTTCCATCAATGTACTGAAGACTTCCGCCCTTGTATCTCAGGACCAGACATTTCCTAAATTTCAGAATCATACCCAACTGCCGGCTGGACATCTCTACTTGGAAATCTCACAAGAAGTTCAAAATCAACGTATCTAAAACTCATTAATTTCTTCCTGCAACCTTCTCTTCCTCTTAAAATCATCACCTCAGTAAATTTTCCTTTCTTTTCTAAATAAACTTCATAACAATTATTTAAAAAAATAGATTTTATTGATTTTTTACAGAGAGGAAGGGAGAGGGATAGAGAGCTAGAAACATCAATGAGAGAGAAACATTGATCAGCTGCCTCCTGCACACCCCCTACTGGGGATGTGCCTGCAATCAAGTTACATGTCCCTTGACCAGAATTGAACCTGGGACCTTTCAGTCCCCAGGCTGACACTCTATCCATTGAACCAAACCAGTTTTGGCTCAGAACAATTCTTGATGTTTCCTCCTCCACCTCAACTTCCTAAATCCTTCTCAAATATGTCCTACTTTCTCTTCTCACTGCCACTACTTTACCCTATGTTTGGTTTACTTAAAAAGTGGCAGAAATTTAATTAAAAACATGGGTCAGCCTTGCCTGGGTTCAAATCCTGGTTCTACCACTTGCTAGCTGCATAACCTTAAGCAACATACTTAATCTCTCTAAGCCAGTATTTTTCAAACTTTCTAAACTGTGATCTTATGGGCAAAATCCTTCCCTCTTATGCATTAGAGTGGAGGATTCAATTAATTCATTTATTCTCCTGTTCTGTTTTCCTGGAAACCCAATAAAGGTAAGAATATCAACTATGTTACCAGGCAACATTGCTTATAGTGAGAATGACCCTTATTGCTAAATCGAATCTTAATGGCGAGATCCATAAATACTTGGGACACCATTCTTTGGGATTTCCAAAGTGGGGTCATGCTTATAACTGGGCATGCCCATTGCAGGGACCTTGCAAATCAGGCCTATAGAATCGTTGTAAGATACACTGGCTTCTGTGAGGCATATATGGCAGAGTGGCTCTCCCACTGCCCTGATTTCCCCAACTTTGAGCTATCCCTGGGCAGTTGCAGAGACTGCATATGGCTACTGTAGGGATGCACATTCAAGAAAAATGGCTGATGCTGAGAAAAAGCTGGTTTCTGTCCTGCATTGTTCAAAGTACACTGTTGCCAAGTGTGGACCCTGGCGACTCTGAATGTTCAGCTTAATTTAAGGTGACCCTGTGGTGGGTGTTGTAGTCATATAGTAGGAAATAATTTCACATTGTAACCAGTATACACACATAGACATATATCTCTGTCTCTAAAAATAAAAACTTCATGAAACAATCCTTATGTGCTATGCACTCTAATATTTTCTATTATGTATTGTTCATTTTATTTAAAAACTCTGCATTTAATCCACTAAACTGACTTCACAGCCAACTACTGAGTCATAATCCATCATTTAAAAAGCATGGACTAAGCCTTAGAGTCCTCACCTAAAAAAGAGCAACACATACTTTCATAAGGTTGCCGTGAGGATTAAAATAGATAATCCACATACCGTGTTACAGTCAGTGGCATGTAGCAATATTCTCTATTGTTGACAGTATTCTAACTGTTCTTCCTCCCACAGGCCTCACCCCCTCTAATCTATTCTCCACACAGTGGCAAGGAGAAATTTTCTAAAACAAAAATCTGATCATGTCAAGTTCCTGTCTGAAAATGCTTTCATGGCTCCCCACTGTTCCTGGGATAAGGCCCAAATTCTGACACAGCCTATACTGCTCCCCAGGCTCTAGCCCAATGGGCTTCTCCAGCCCCCTGCTTACTCCAGCCCGAGGCCCACTGTTCCAGCCACACTGAATCACGTCTGGTTCCTAAGCTTCCATGCATTTCTCCAACCCAGACTTGGGTTTATGTTCTGTTCTCAGCCTGGAGCATTTTTATTCTTCCCCAAAACTTTGTCAGCCTGACTTTACTAGGACTTTAGGTTTCAGATAGAATGTCAACTCTTCAAGGAAATGTTCTGTAATATTCTTAAGAAGGAGTTGGATATCCCTCCCTAACAGACAGTGTAATTGCCTGTAATGTGTCTGAAGCTCTGAGGGCAGGGATCTGTCTGTCTTGAAACTGGCATATCCATAGTGTTTAGTGCCTTTTTTGAAACAAAAGATATTTATTAAGAATTTATCTAATAGCCTGGCTGGTATGGCTCAGCAGTTGAGCATCAACCCAGGAACCAGGAGGTTGCGATTGGATTCCCAATCAGGGCATATGCCCGAGTTGAGGGTTGATCCCCAGTGGGGGACACGCAGGAGGCAGCTGATAAATGATTCTCTCCCATCACTGATACTTCTCTCTCTCTCTCCCTCTCCCTTCCTCTCTCTAAAATCAATAAAAAAGCAGTTAAAAAAAAAAGAATTTATCTCATAAATGATTAAAATCATATAGGCAGTTCAGAAATCACCTAAGTCAACTGACCACAAAACTCCTTTCTCTTCGCTCTTTGCCTGAAACTTGGGGCCTCAGATAGGAATTCCCAACCTTTCCATCAGGCAAATCAACCCCCTCAAGACCCAGACTGGGGCAATACCGACACTCTGCCATGAAAACGGTGAATTCAGCCCAACTGCTAGGAATGTTCTCAAGAGAAGATGGGCAGGCTGTACAGACCTGAAGTCTAAATCCTCAGAAGCACAGCTCTGTTTAAGTGTGGTGTTCAGTGCCATCACTTTCCAGAGTAGAACGGAATGGTGTCTACTAGGTAGTTTGGCTGTTGTTTCCTTCCCTGCTGTCTTTGGCAAACAGGGAGGGGAAAGTGATATTTATATTCCTTCCCCACTGGCAGGCAGGTATTCGCTCACTTCTTCCAGTAAGTTAACATTATAAGTTTAAAATGGTGTTATATTAATTAAATTTAGGAAAATGTCCTTTCCCTACATCCCCCTGCTACTGCCACTGGTCACCGTTAAGAAACTGCAATAATAAAATAAGCGTTGTCATGGTAGAGACATCAGCAGCTGGAATCTTTAGCTAAGAGGGATCTGTCCACAGCTGATCTGACAAGAGCATTACAGGCTATGTAGAAAGTGCCCTCAAGGATTCATGGCCACCTAACCCTTATTGGCTTGTCAGCAGTTCACTCACCTGTGGAAGGAAGTTTGGACGTGGAGTGAGTCTAGGAGGAGGGATAAACTGTGGTACTTTGATGGGCTGAGGAGGTGTTGCCTGAACCTGCTAAAAAATGAGAACGATAAGTAAACCAGAGGGGAAAATAAATGTCCAATACCAAAGCATCACTGACAATATTTTCTATGAGCTCTCACTATAGACTAACCATCTGAATTAACACTCTCCCGCTTGCATGCTTCACCCCACAGAGTGAACCAACCACATTTGTTCCCTCACATACCTAATGTGCAACATGCAGGCTCAGCATGCTTAGGCAATTTCCTTTGACACTTAAGAACTTTTGCACTTGAGTATTTTAAAAGTCAAGACTGGATCCAAAGTAAAATCAAACTTGCCTCCTGGCCAAATGGGCCCTTTCCTAACATACTAGTAGAGTTTTGTCTTACAAAGAATGCCTTTATTCCTATAAGAAGTTTCTCAATCTCAGCACCTGGCTGAGTTATCTGGTTGCTTCTCTACAGATTCCTGGGTTTAAATGGTGAAGCTTCCTGTCATTGCTCTCTAGTTCACTCATCACTGGTTATCATTCAAAAGCCACCACGAACGCTTAGCTGCCATTATAGGAGCAAACTTTTAAACCACAATTTGGACATCCTTCCCCAAGATTCTGAGAACATCAGTTTCCAAATGGTTTACCCTAGAAATCTCAAGAACAATTTTGTTCATTATTTCATGGGTGATAATTTCAAAGTATAGTGAGTTATAAGAATACAGTAGGGAGTTTCCCAAAACCAATAATATGGCACCAGAGTCTCAGCACTCAAGTTCCACAGGCTGGGCCGTGGACAGGAGGAAGAGGAACACGAAACAGTGTGCATGCCTCTGTGAAGGACATCTCCCCCTCAAACCAAGTCAGACTTTGATCTCCAATTATGCACTGAATGGGTTTTGGTCTTTGGTGTCAGGATACCGCTATAGTTATTTTTGAAGACAGTAGGAAAGCCATATTCCCTGGTTAGTCCCAAAGGATAGAGTGATAGAGATGAAAAAATCCAGCAGTAGCATAAAATAGATATATTCTGCAAATGCATATCCCTCTAATGTGGGCACCCATGAATAGCAGCTGCTGGCTTACCAGAGTGACCGTGTTTTTTGCCACAATTTGGACAGCCTCTGCCCCAGGCCCAGTGACCTTACTAGACGTCTGGAGGTTGACTGGTGTGTTCTGCACATCAGTGCTGAGCACAGCCTTCTGACTGTTGATGGCGGTCACCATAGCAATGGTAGGTCTCTGGCCCACAACAGAGGCAGGCATGGTTGCAGTTGCTGCTTTCAAGACGAGAGGTAGTGTCTTTGTGGTAATCATAGAAGCTGTAGTTACAGTCTTCTAGGAGACACGGAGAACAGATATTAGGATACTGAACTGTGATCCTAATAAACAATATCCTGCTAACCCCCAGCAGAAAACAAAGCAATTAATTCTCATAATCAATCAAGTTCCTCGGTATAACAACATTTCTTTTGTGTACACAGAGCACACGGTTACTACAGAGAAAGATGATTTCTAGTTTGCCAGCATTTTCAAATGTAGCGTTAGGCTCACAGTAATAACTGCAACTAATATGGGCACAAGGTTTTCAATAATGAGTGGGGTGGGTTTACAGATACAGAATATGAGTGTATCTTTTGGCTTTTCTAATTTTTAGCTTGCTCTCAATTAATTTAAAATTTTTAGAAGTTTCCAATCAATGAGGAACACACTATCGCTATCCTTAATTGCTATGATCTCATCAATAGGAAGAAAGCCATCGTGTGATTCTGATTATCTGCCATCTGTGACAAAAGGCAGGGATAAAAGGAGAGCATATATATATATATATATATATATATATATATATATATATAATTTTATATGAGGATTAGTGTAATTGTTGCCTCAAAGGCAGTAAATCCCAAACACCAATAATAAAACCAACTACGGTAGTATATAGTGCCAGCTCTTGATACCAAAGGGACCTGAGTCACTACCTATAATCTTTACTATGGAGAACTGTAGGAGTGACCAAGGTCCAGTGAAATGTGACAAGGTGGAAACAAACAGCTGAGTTTCAAAAAGCCTCCCAGATGAGAGGACGGATAGAGGCGAGACGGCTTGACTGGTGCTCCATGACGGCTACTGCAGCTGTGAGGCTGTGTTTTCTACGCTTTCCACTGGAGTAACTAATGGAGCCAGGCACACAGAACACACATCATCTAGTGCTACTAGTCAGTCACTCAAGGTACAGACATCTCAGGAACATGAAGTTTATCTGGTACAACCTGCTGGTTCTGACTTTGATACTACCCCGCCTTTTTCTTCTTTACACTTGCACTGTCCAATTTGGTAGCTACTAGCCACAAATGGCTGTTTAAATTAAATTAGTTAAAACAAAATAAAATCAAAACATAAGTTCATCAGTCACTTGGCCCATTTCAAGCATTGAGCAGCCATAGGTGGCTCGTGACTACCAAAAGGGACGGTGATTTCCACCAGTGCGGAAAGTTCTGTGGGATAATGTTGCTCTAGTAGAGTCTAGACAGTGAGAAGGACCCCACTCTCCCCGAATCAGATCTGGACAAATTCCCTTGTGAATTTCTATTTCCGTGTCTACGGAACTACTTGTGTATTAAGTTGCTTGGTTACAGGCAATTTTTTATTTCTGTTTTCTGCCTTAAACATATATACTAATATGTGTATGACTTAATCTTTTAACATCTTTTTATTTCTGTTAACCAAAAATTTAATGATCTGGCCTGATCTATTCCATCATAGCCTAATCAGCAATCCTGATTAAGGCTTATCATCAAAATCACCCAAATCTTTGTTTCCTCTTCTCTGAGCCAACAACACAGGAGTGGCTTGTTCTCCTTGCCACTGCCTCCTCAAACGTGAAATGAGAGTGAAAGGAGAACATCCTATATCTTTTAGGGGTCAGCAGGCCATCTACTCTCTATTCAGGGATGAAAACCAAAGAAAAGCTAACTGCTAATTAGCATTAGAAATGTTACTGTAGTGCTGCAGAAGAACTGACTTTACTTTACCAGCTATTTTTGGGTGTGTGTTTTTGTTTTGTTTTGTTTGTGTGCGTGCGTGTGTGTGTGTGTGTGTGTGTGTGTGTGTGTGTGTGTGTGTTTTACCAGATATTTGTAATAAAAGTTTTTAACTCAGTGTGATGTTAGCTCTACCTTTCAATTTAAAACATATACATACAAAAAGCTTTTGAAGTGGTGAGCAAATCACATCTTCGTATTACTATGGGTTATGGAAGCAAAGCTCTAATCAGAACTCACTGATGAGATTTTTTTAAAGTGTGCATGTTGTTACTGCTTTAAAAGAGGTTAATATACTTTTTTTCTGAAACATACCTGTTTCAAGTAAATCTCAAACTCATCTGAATTACATACTTACCATTACCTGCAACACTTAAAAAACACAGGAACCTAACAGGTTTTTTCACATCTTTAGGCTAGCATTTTTATTCTACTTTATTTGTTGTGGCTCATTTTACTGTATGTATTCTAGCAGCCATATAACTCTTTCTATACCCAGGCACAAGACTCAGGACTATATGCACCAAGAAAAAAGTTTTGGAGAAAGTATTTACTACTATTGATACCAGGTATTGACACAGGTATTATCTGAATATTTACTCCTGCCCTAGTGCTTCTTCTATTCTAACTATTAATAGCATAACTATTCTATTATGAAGAGCATAAACCAATCTTGGAGTGTTAGAGTTTAGATGACAAAGAGACTCTAGAGTTTTGAAATTCAAATCTAATGAAAACCTCGGAACTGTTCTGGCAGGAGGAGAAAAGACACAGAGAGGAAAGGTACCCAACAACAAAGAAAGTTATGTCTATGGAAGCTGTCCTTTTCTGGCCGGGACAATCCCAGGATGACTGCCTTCCAGAGAAGATGCAGCTTCCCCACAATTTCATGAAAGGGTTCTTTAATTCTGACAAAACCCAAACTGCATGAACTAGAAGTTAATACAGAAATACATGGTAAGAAGCACTAACTGCAAAATCCTTTTCATTTATTTATTTTTGTTCAGTTGTTATTGTTCTATATCTACTAAGCACAGGGTATTGATTGAAAACATACAAACTCCAATGCACAAATCAGAACTTAGAGTTGGAGTTAATTAAGAGAACTGGTCCTCCTATCCCCCCACTTTGGTACCTGCTAACCTGATTTAGAATAAAACACTTTCTTCTCCCCGCCTATGCTGTGATTGCTACTCAACAGTTACCAGAATTGTGTAAAAACACTTAGGAGAGTACCAATATATAGAACTCAGGTATTCAGTATACGCCATATACGACTTCTTATTTGTTCTTGACCTCATGAACCTTTAATGACTCTATAACTGCCAAATTCCCTAAGTTTTGTCATGCATTGGAGGGTTTCCACAAGCTCGTCGCTTCCTCCCTTTAGGGTTTCATCTCCCTTTCCACTATTTCCTGAGTCCACACTCCAGGCAAATCAGCCTCCTTTCCACACCACCCTGACCCTCCCGGGAAAGCATTTACTTTTTTGACTCCACCCCTCACTGTGATGCTCTATCTCCTGCTGCTCACCACTGAAATTTCCCTTGTCTGTCAAGGTCCTGCTCAAATGCCACCTCCACCTCCTTTGTGAAGTTCTCTCTGTTCCCTCCTCTCAAAAGCACTGTCCTCTGGTATTTTTCTCAGCTCTTTCATTTTCTTCTTTGTTAACTGTTTTCATTCTCTCTCCTTCTCTAAAGTTTTTAAATTCTTGAAGACAGAAATTCTGTCTTATTTATGAATCTATCCTCTACATTGCCTAATAGAGTACAGACTCCATACATATTTAGAGAATGAATGAAAATTACAGTATACCAGATTCTAGGCAGGAACCATTATCTTTATATACCAGAATCTAGCACATAGAAAGTGCCCAATAAATACTTATTGGTTGTTTATTGTAAAAACAAAACCCAAAAACCTAGAGGATCTTTTGACTTTTTAATATTAAACTTTTGCATTATATAAAATAAATATTAGTAAAATAAGCTTAACCAAACCAATAAACTATACTAGGTGGCTTCAGATGGAGAGATGTCACACACTGTTTTGGGGATAGCCCTATGCCCCTCCCTATTATCACCTCAAAGTAGCACATAACTCAGATCATACAAGGAAGGGAATGGCTACTGTGTCACTTAAACATTTCCTCTGATTTGTGTGACATGGAATGTTACTTGAACAGAAAGTTTTCATGGATCAAGGCAGAAAATTCCTACATACCAAGAAATAATGAAGTCTGCCACTTTCCTTCCATGTGAACTCTTTCTGATCAAACTGTACTTTGGAAAGGGAACAACCTAATCCGACTCTGTTTAAAAGTCCAACAAAGTAATCTGGTAAGCAATCTTTCAGAAGGAATACAAGTCCTGGTCCAGAGGTTTCAGAAGTCAGTTTGAATACCTAATTTTCAAATACCTTGGGGTGGAGATCAGGGTAAACATTCTGCTGGATGCTCTATTATCTGATTCACAACAGGGATTCTTCCTTTTCCTTTTCTGGCATTTTTATATAATTTCTTTTTTCTTTTCTTTTCTTTCTTTTTTTTTCTTTTCTTTCTTTCTTTCTTTCTTTTTTTTTTTTTGTATTATATGGCAGTACAGAAGAGTGATGAATAGATTTTTCAGCCAGAATATCTAGGTTCATATCTTGGCTCCACTACATACAACCTACATGATTTTAGATAATTACTTAATCTCTTTGTGTCTTAGTTTTCTTTCTTAAAAAAAGAAAAAGGGAGAGAGATAAAAATACAACACCTTCCTTATTAAAGTTGGAGTGAGGATTGTGTACATTATATATGTAAAGCACTTAGGAGAGCACCAATATATAGTAATCTTTATTAAATGTTAACAAACTTTAGTAATCTTTAGTATTTTTTGTAAGAAACGCATTCTTCACTTGCAAAATGAATGTACATAAACCTTTCCCTTTACATATAAAGATACAGTGAAGACTTGGTGTTGATGGGTCAGAGATATCCACACTTAGGATTCATAAGATTTAAGTCCTTGAAATCATGTGCCAAATGAATGTATTAAGTGAAAATGTGTATTTTTCTGGGGAGGGGATGCATAGTTTTCAACAGAGGCTTAAAGCGGTCTGTGACCTTCAAGGATCAAGAACCACTGTTCAATTGTCCTATTTTAAAAGCTGTGCCACCAGCGTGGCTCAGTGGTTGAGCACTTACCTATGAACCAGGAGGTCATGGTTCAATTCCCAGTCAGAGCACATGGCTGGGTTTTAGGCTCAAGCCCTGGTAAGGGGCATGCAGGAGGCTCATCAGTGATTCTCTCCCACTGTTGATGTTTCCCTCTCTCTCTCTCCCTTCCTCTGTCTGAAATAAATAAAAAATATATTTAAAAGAGCTGTGCCCATATTATATCTAAGAGTGTGGAGATCAAACTTGAATAATTTTCTTACTAGTAACTGAATATTGTTCCCAAATATGTCCTTTTGTGTGTCTTGACTGCTTCCTTATTCTTACATTATATTCTAGCTTAAATGCCATTTAAAGTAAAATCATTTGCACAGCTTCACCAAGTTAGAATGTTATTAAGCTTCTACTTCTTAGTGCTAGTTTTGACCTACAGCTTCCATTTTAGATTTCCTTCTGTGTATTAGAACAGATTCATATTCTCATGAATATGGACTTATAAATGAATATTTTGTTTCTATGAATAATGGAAATATATCACCCTTCTAAATGCTCTTTCTACCTGATCCTGTAATATCTCCATGCCTAATTGCTAAGAACTCCAGAAAAACAATTCCAGAGGAGGTGAAATCACACAGACTTTTAGAACAAGCTCAAATAAATATTTCCAGAAACTGAAAAGAAGACGCTACTTCTGTTCTTATTCTGAGAAGCAATTTTTCTTTGTCACCCACTAACTTTCCCTCCTTCTCTGGACAGTTGGAAAATGATTTAACTTTTGCTCCTTAGTAATGTTATTTTCCTCTGCAAATCAATTTCAAGTGGTTGCTATCCCAGTTATAATACAAAAAAGGAACCAAAATAACTTTTGTGTAGGGCTGGTTGAGCTTATATAGAGCCTGAAACAGGACCTCATTCCACATGACCAATAGCACATCCGTCCACAACCTAAAGCCCGCGGTGCTCCTCCCCACAAACTTTACCTGTGAAGCGGTCAGGTTGGGAGAGGGTGCCGCCGGCTGGGCGTGGTGGTGGTGGTACTGCTGTTGTTGCTGTAGCTGCTGTAGTGGTTGCTGCTGTGCTGTTTGTAGTTTGTTTTCAGATTGTGGCAATGGCTGTATTTGGAACTTGTCTGGTTGTTCCTGCTTTACTATCAGGTTCTTCCGAAGCTGTTCAACGACCCTTTTCTACCAAACGAGAAAAAAAGAAAGAAGAGCCATCAGAATATTGTCCTACCAGCTGTGTAGAAATATGCAATAATTATATGCCTCTAACATCTTTAAAGTTTGTAAATGTTACATCTAAAATGTACAGATTTGACAAATGAGGATAACCTATGGCATAAGAAACATTTTATAAAGGGAAACAGAGGCATGTAGGTGGGAAGAAAAGCTAAAGGAAGTTATGCAGCAGAGCTCAGCTTTCTTTACTGTTATTAGCTGAGCAATCTAGGCTGGAAAGGCAGTGTAGTAGAGCATAGTCAGTGAAGACCTGACTCTGGAGAAAGGCTGCCTCAATTCAAATTTCAGTTTTGCTATTAATACTTACCAGTCACACGATGTTGGTCAAGTTCCTTAACCCAGTGGTTGGCAAGCTCATTAGTCAACAGAGCCAAATATCAACAGTACAACGATGGAAATTTCTTTTGAGAGCCGAAAACCGACTTCTGTGCATGGGCCGTGAATTTTTAATCGCACTGTATGTGCACACCCACACGTGGTATTTTGTGGAAGAGCCACACTTAAGGGGCCAAAGAGCTGCATGTGGCTCCTGAGCCCCAGTTTGCCAACCACTGCTTTAACCTATCTATGGATCAATGTCCTGTTCTGTAAAGTGAGGCGACTAACAATATCCTTAAGATTTTTACAAGAACCAAGCCAGATGCTAGTTGTAAAGTACTCAGAACTATGGCACATTGATGGTCATATTTCTTTTTGCACCTGACTACACAGATACTAGCCATACTAATTTTGTTAATCAAATGTCATGTATCTATCCCAGACTCAAATATTAAAGACTTTTAAACAAAGAAACTTGATCTTAGAAATATGCAATATAAACAACAGACATTCCAAATCACTGAAAAGGGTACTCATGAGCTGGACTTCTTTGCTGGGCCAAGATCTGTAGAAATCTTGGTTTGGGCAGAGTAGGGATTTAGTTACATGGGATGAAAACTTTAAATTAATATTTGCTGAATTTTTTAAACCTGTTCAAATTCAAGAAAATGTGTACTTGGATACCTTCGTTACTGTAGAATACATTTCAACAGAACGTAAGCTGCATGAGGGAAAGGACTTTTGCTCACAACTATACTCTGTAGCTAAGTCAATGTCCTCATACTCTTCACATGACACGTATTTTCTTCACATGACACGTAAAGTGATGCGTCCAAAGACTAGCAAAAGGCTCAGAGAATATATAATAACCATCTGGGGCCAGACTTGGGCTCCAACTCTCCTGGCCTCATGGCTGGAAGTATAAGCAGCACCCCTCTCATTCACTTTAAGTGAGTTTATCAATTGAGGTTTGTTATTTCTGACAAAAGTAATTGCTATTTTCTAATATTATGAGTAGAGAAAAAGAAGTGAATAAAAATCTTTAAATAAAGAGTTAAGTGAAATCAGCGAGCCAGGTTGATTTTCAAATTCCTGCATATGATTCTAACCAACTTCATTTGTATTCTCTAAAGAATCCAAACCTGCAGGCTACTGGCTTAACATTGTTTGAATATTAAAATATTTACAAAATGGATTTTTAAAAACTTTAAGTCAATACAAAATACATTCTTGAGAGAATTTTAAATATTTTTATTATTGATTTTTTTGGACAATGAAAATATCATATAAAGGCCAAGGGGGGGAGGGGGGGAGTCTGCTGTACTATACACTCTGCTAGCATTTCCTCTTTCTGTAGTTAAATATTAAAAAGAAAAAAGAATGCAGAGTCCAATGTCTCTGTAGAAACCATCTGCAGAATAATAAAAATGCAAATTAATAAAAATATCAAATGCTTATAAAAATTAACTCTCAAGTCTCAAGTATAAATGGCAGAGTAATCGAACCGATATGTCTCAGGAGAGGGGAAAGCAAGAATAAGGGTGTTATAGATAATTATGAGAATCACAGATTTCATTGCCTGGTGACTGCCAGACATTTAAACAAATAAATAAGTATTTAGAGTTGCTTTTACGCCCCCCCCCCCAAACATATTAATCAGCATTAATCAAACATAACAAACTAACAAATATGTAACAGCAGTGAGAGAAAGGGACTCAAAAAACCTTTATTAAAAAAACAAAAAACTCAGCTCAAATCAGGAAAAGGAGAGAAACCAGGAAGAAAGCATACACCACAAATGTGACAGAGTAAACTAAATAATCATTACACCAGGCATAAAAGGAAAGGGTGTTTTTTTCCTTTACAGCCACCCATACGAAATACCGTGTTCTCTCTCACTGACTGCCTAACTGGGGTAAACCACAAGCAAGAGACAAAGCCGGGAACCCACTCCCAGGGCTGTGCACAGCAGAAGGGAACAGCAGGGGAAAGGAGAAAGGGATGCAGGCTGGAGTACTTTGCAGCCATAAGGCTGGAGCAAGGTGATGACCAATCAGAAGGAGCATGAGAAAGTGGGAGTCTGAGACACGCTGCACTCACAACCAAGCCAGTGGAGCTTGTGGGGGCTGGGAGAGGGGAGGGTTCAAATACTCGCACACGTACATTAGTCCTGGAGAGGAGAAGAAACAAAAAAGGCGGGAGAAGAAGAGAGCTGCGTAGATTGGACATGGGTCAGATCACACAAGCTGGGTGAATTTTCTGGGAGAGAGGGTCTGGTGCTGCTCAGAAACACACGTCCGCTGCACCCCGTGCGCTGTTTACCAGAAGATTAGAATACCAAGCGTGTAGCTGTGCATGTCTGTGACATTTTTTAAAATGAAGATTTGGGGGAAATGCTGACGCCTTCTGTAGCTCAAACCTCTCCCCCTGCAGACTGAAAACCAACCATCTAAAGTCAAGAGAGCTCTGCCACGGTGTGCTCTTCAGGTGTCCGGAGGCCCTGCCCACTCTGAAGGACTGGCTAATAAGGGAGGTTGTTGGCTTCGCTACGTCTAACAATCCAGACTTGTTCTAGTTAATTCTGGTAAACACAAAAGTCACAGTAACTCCAGCAGGACCCCGATCGGGGTCAGGACCAGTTTTGGTGGCAGCAAGAGAATAAAGCTATAATATTTTGTAAATCTCAGCTGTGTGGTATTAGCAAAGTTGTTAAGTAGCTTCTCGTCTCTTAAAATATATGTATTTTATTTTATTTTTTAAATATATGTATTTTATTGATTATTATTATTATTATTATTATTATTATTTTTTTTACAGAGAGGAAGGGAGAGGGATAGAGAGTTAGAAACATTGATGAGAGAGAAACACTGATCAGCTGCCTCCTGCACACCTCCTGCGGGAGATGTGCCCGCAAGTAAGGTACATGCCCTTGACCAGAATCGAACCTGGGACCCTTCAGTCCGCAGGCCGACATTCTACCCACTGGTTAGGGATACATGTTTTTATTTATTTATTTTTAAAGTATATTTTTATCGATTTCAGAGTGGAAGGGAAAGGGAGAGAGAGAGAAACATCAATGATGAGAAAGAATAACCAATTAGCTGCCTCTTGCACACCCCATCCCCTATTGGGGATCGAGTCCTTAACCTGGGGATGTGCCCTGACTGGGAATCGAACCGTGATTCATAGGTCAACACTCAACCACTGTGCAACACCGGCTGGCCACTATTACATGTTTTAAACAAAGAAATCAACTTCCGTGGTCATTAATGAATGTTATGCTGGCATAAACAATTTGATATTTTCAATGTTATTCATATATAAGGCAGAACTTTAAGTGTAGCTAATTATTTTGGAACATTATCCTGAGGCTTTGCCATTGTCACTCACAAATAGGTTAACGAGAATAAAAGAGGAGGGAAATGAAGAAAATGGAAGAGGAAAAGCTGGCGAGAATCATGACAGAAATGAGGAAGAAAAGTTAATAACTTATGACTTATCTTCTCTCCTTAATATAATCAATGGGCCAATGGGCCAGGCTAGCATCACCCCCTTCAATCCATTTGTCCACCTGCTCCATCAACCCACGTGCAATCCTGAGCCTTGGATTCCCTGGACCTTCCCATCCCCAGGTTTCATCAGGGCTTGTTCAGGCAGAAGAGTTCACAGAACTTCTGACACTTGGAGTCACAGTTTCTGAGACAGGTGGTCACATTGATCAACACTGTGACATTCAGTGATACTATCAACATGTTCACGTGACAGCAAGGCAGATCCCAATGAAAAATACAGAAGTTTATAGGTCCAATTCAACAGAAAACTAGGTTCCTTTTCTCCTAAGTCAATCACTGCACGTTGCATGGCCTGGGCAAGCACAGAAGAAAGACAAGAAATGGAAGGACAGCCCCCACCCCTCCAGCCAAGGCACAATTTACTTCTATCAACCTCTCACAAATTCCAGAAATCTTCTCTTGAAAGGCACTCCCAGCCTAGGGCCCTGCCCTCTGGGAAGCCTGTGCTCTAAGTCTCTGCTTTCCTCCACAGCCTGTCACTCCACTTGCCTGCGTTCCGGTTGACATTATCTGTTTTATATCAATTACGAGAGGACCATACCCACTCAGACTTCTTGCATAAGTACTGCCTTAAAATTCACCTTTTCCCCTTCCATGAATCAACCATAAAATCTGAAAATATAACCATTACCCTTCATACCAGAGGCTGATAGAGACTTAAAATTTTTCACAAACATTTTAGGACAAATCTTACCCATCTTTATACCTAAAATGCAGTGAAAATTTTTTCCAGGTCTTCAGACTCACCAAGCGCTCAAAGGTAACTAGAGAAACTAAAATTTTTGTGTGCAGAAAAACTAACGTGGAGAAATTTATGCTTGTTGATGAAGTCAGAATTTACTCAAACAAAAACTTTCTATTGTTCGACAGAAATACAATCACTGCATTTATGAGCAACACCAATATTCCTCAATCCTGACGAGGCAGCAGGAGATACGCCACACAGTGATCACCCCCTAAAGAACAGGGAATGTGGTACTGGCATAGCAATGACAGTTACGATCCACAGTAAGAGGTATGTGCTATTAAATTAAATGAAGATTCCACCATTTTGTG